TCCTGGCGGTCGTGGCATGACACTGTCAAATAATAAATTTTTCTGTCTGAGATACTCCAGACCTCATCCTGCACGTCAATCAAAGGGAGCAACCGACGCACACATGTAGTGTAAAGAGACTCAAGTGCTGTGTTTTCGTGCTCCTGAAAGGAAGGTCGTCAAAATATTTCTGCTGCTTCGTTTGGAACGGGAAATGTATTTATATTTAAATAAATGGAGGGCGGGAACAATAAATTTTAATTGAGCCGATCATTGTTTACGGATTGATAAACAACACAATGGCGATTATTATACATTGAATTGGAAATGTTTTGACTTTGAGTGATTAGCGTGCAGGCTCATTATTATGCCATTTCGCGGTCAATCGATACACGATCTCATTTTCCTGCGGGGAAAACACCTAGCCAGGGTCAAAGGGCACTTCAGACGGACTTGTGATATTGCAAAAATTCTCAAGAAAAATTGCCGGCAACACCTCAGTTAATTAAGACCTCTGGTGCTTTATAAAGAGAGAGAGAAAAATTTCTCCTTATATACAGTTGTGTATTATAAAAAGGGACAAACAATAAAAACTAATTTTTATTAACACGCCGAATGAGTTTTCACGCGCGTGATGGATCGATTGGGAAAAGCGTATAAACGGCGTTTAATGGGACTTTTGATGAGACTGCTGTAGCTGGACGAGTCATTCCTCACTTGACGCTATTGTGCCGTGAAAATGTGTTATGTGCGTTTATGGTATATTATAATCCTAACACTCATCGTGGTGGTGAAATGCATTTAATTTAAGGAATATTGAGGACCTATTTAAGGTGACCAATTTTACATAAATATGTATATTTTACCATTCAAAATTTAATACAAATTGAATTACAGCAGTAGTAAAAAGTAAACTATATTTTGTCAAACTGAATAGTTTGAACAAGCTTTTTTATAAGTTAATTCAAATTTGTTTACTAATTAACTAATTATTAAATAACGTATATTAACATGATTTTATGAAAAATTTATAAAGTATAGCTATATAATTTTTTAATGATCAAATATTTAATTTTATACGTTTTCTTTCTTGTATAATATATTTTTCCTAGAAAGTTCATCATTCAAATAATTGACAAAAATATCTTATCGTCATCACAAGCAGTCAAAAATAATATCTATACGGGCTAATCTCGAAAACTTTTTGTAGCTTATCAATTTTCCTCTCTTCAAGGATACAGTTTTTTTGGCACGTTGAGAATTGCACCATCTTAATTTTTTCTCCTGATTTTGAACTGTAAGTTCTTAAGTAGAGACAGTTGTGGACAAAAGTTGATTTCAAAAACGGGATTAAATTCAACCATATTTCACACAGATCTTTTGAGGCTTTCCGGTTTTCTCACGTAAACGATACCCTCGACTCATAATAACATTAATCGCAAGTGACCTTTTTATATTTATTTCTCTTTCGCACAGCACGCTGCGTGATTTACAGTGAGGTTTGTCGCGAATTTGCGTCGCAAAAACTCGATTTGAGCTTTTTATGAGCTGGACTTTGCCCTCCCACCCAAAACTCCAATCAGATTTAAAAAAAAGAACCGACCCCGTTTTGTATAAGTTATTAAAAAAAAGCATAAAGTATGCAATCAGCGGCAGAGGCGATCGATCAAAAGTTGAAAATCAAGATATTGCTCTGTTCGGGCGGATTAGAAATAAATTTATGGGCGTGTAATTATTATACATTCACGGCGAGACGCGCAGCATAAAATTGTATGTAAGCGAAGTATTATTTTGGCAAAAGTCGTCGCGGAGAGTATGATGTAAAACGATACCCCCCGCGAGCCCGGCGGAGAAATTCGTGGCCTTATATAGAAGAGAGGCGGTCAGAAAGAAACAAAAGTTATTCCTTAAAATAAATGTCCTGGGCCGCCGCGCAATGCTTGAATTGCCGCGGCGAATAAATTCAACACTTTATCTACCCACCGAGCAATAATTTAATTCGCACCTCGCGATTTATGAGGTCACTCTCGCCGCTGACCCCAGCACTATATGGGTACACAGCGTCTTCATTTCTTTTTCCCATGCGCGGCCGAGAGAAATTCTGTCCGCGATTGAAAAAGAAAATCGCTGAAATTGGCCGCGCGTGGAATTTTTACGAGGGCTCCGACGCATAATGATCGCGGGCGAACAAGAGATGACGCTTAATTTGACACCCGCCGACTTGTGAGATTTAGACATAAAATTTTGATGGCACGTCCCGCGACCTTTCAAATTTATTACGACGCGATTAAATGAGATGCATATCAAATTCCATAGAGCCTAATTTTTTCTTCTCTAGAGAAATTTTAGTTCTTGAAAATTAGAAAAAAACCTTATGCTAAAAATTATATAAAACTAAAAGTGCAATATATATTTTAAATAAAAATAAATTATTTAATTTAAAAGCATTAATGTTTATTTTCAGTTTTCGATTCTTAATGTTAAATTAATTATAAACGAAATAATAGTCTATTTTATTTTATTTTTATCGAAATAGTCAAATCTGTTTCCCCCGTGTGTGTTTTATATAATTATTAGAAAAGGTTTTTTGCTTTTTCCAATTTAAATTCGGACAGAGTAAATAATTGATTCATCTCAACAGTCTCTTTCCTAGAACGTTTTTATTTCCGCACCTTATTCATGACGTGAAACATTATTCCGACAAATATATGGAGTGCGCGAACAAACTTAATCTCACTTCTGTCAGTGAAGCGCCCGTCGGCCGGGCAATGGGTGCGAAATCCCATCGCAATAACGAGAGAGTCATCTGCGCGAATAAAAGCGCCTTCAAGAAGTGCAATCACTCGTTGCAGAAAGAGACGCGGCGCCGGGTTCATCAACCGCGGCTTCGCGAGTCACCGCTCGAAATTCGCAATTCTTGCCACCGATTGAATACAATAAATTGTTTTTCCATTTCCAATCGATGGGCGCAAACTTCAGATTTCCTTTAGTGCGGAGTGGTTTGGAAAAAACGAGTGGTTCTAGTCGCGTCTTGGCGACGGCCATCGGCAGCGACGCCGCGGCGGCCAGAAAACAAATAATTGCTCGGCAATGATATGGTCCAGAAGGCTGTTCTTCAATATGAATGCTGCAGCACCACCAGTGGCGTCGGCTTTAATTTTATATATGTGCGCGTTAGCGAGCGAGTGTGTTTACTGTTCAAGAGACACTATTTAATGTAGTGAGCACCGTAACGGAAGTCACCAGCCCGGTCTTCACATATTATATTATAAACACATAACCAAGAGTACAGAAAAAAGGACCAGCATATACCCTTGGACCAAACATATATTTAAAAATTATTTCTAAAAATTTTAAATATTAATTAAGGGCGTATAATCTATTTTGTGCATATTAAAAAATATTTTAATATATTATATTATATTTTTCATAATAAGCAAATATTAAAAATATTATATTGTCATTCGCTATTTTATATTTAATTTTAAATGTAATTTTTTTCTATTATTATTTCAAGATCTCCAGGTTTTAGTTTGAGTAGATGTTGACAAACAATAATTTAGAACAATAACCTGAAACATGACTTAATTATTGTAGAAGATTTTGATGGAATTGAAAAATTAATCATCTATATTTAAATTATATTAAAAATATTTAAATATAACTGAGATGTCAATTTATTGAATGAAGATTTAAATTACTATCAAATTTCATACTTCTAAATAATCAGTAAAATTTAACAAATACACTATCTTGATCAATTTTCAATAAAAATGTAAGCATCGTAAATATTATACAACTTTTGTGCCAAATTGTAAAATTCATTGTGCTATATCGGCCAACTAATATACACAACCCTGAAATGTTTCCTCCCAGCGTCCATTTATAAACAGAGTAAATCATTTTGAATAAATAAATCCGATTTCATAAATGTTTAGATTCGTCGTCATCTCGCCGAGGTCCAAATATTTCATTGGTTTACAATATCCTTCCCTGAATTATACCACACGTGCCAATTTTTCGCATGGTAAAAATTAAAAAAAAAAAAATGTTAAAACGGTTTTGTTTTTCAAGCAATAAATAGCATTTTTTTTCATGACCTGATTTAAAATTATCCGCTCGAGTAAAAAAGAGCAACTCAAATTGGCCGCGCAGATGAAGTTGTTGCCTGAATTTGCATACTGTTTGCGCGGCGCACACAGAATCTGCATATTAATCAGCGGAAATCGGTTTTAATCGGAGATTTTTAATTGCCGTGCAACAAACTGGTCTCGGTGCGAGCAAAGAGCGCGTCGGCGAGAATGTAATTTGGCGCGAGAGCACAAAATCCATAAATGGGTGCTTGTCACGTCGGGCGCTATCGGCGGCACCCATCTCTGGCTGGCAACCCTTTGCCGAACCACCACCGACAATAATATAATTATACCGCTCTTATCGCACTTATTAATCTCTCTCGCGGGCGGTTATTGCGACGCGCTCTCTAGGCAATTAAAACATAAATAAAACACGGCGCGGCTCAAAGCACCTCGTCGCACGGAAAGCGCTGCAAAAAAAAAATAGACCGATTTCTCCGCAAAAATCGAAAATCGACGCAGTGAATCATTGCGAAAGGAGCAATTTTTATATAACGAGCACACCGTTTTATGCTCGTATACTTTTATTTTTTTCCAATCGCCAATCGACGACGGCCGGTTTGTTTTTTATTTCGACTTCATTATTCGACGAGCACATAAAACTCTTTTTTATATTTATAACGCTGTGGAGGAACTTTTCAACTTTTATATCTCTCCCTGGGCAGCAGGCTAATAACAACTGCATATACTCGGCTCGCTATCATGTAATTATTCGGTTAAGTTATGACCACATTTCGTTTTATTCGCAAACAACAGTTAAACACAGAGAAAATTCCGCGCGGCTTTCCTTGTGTATATTATAACGAGCACCTTCATGTACACTTGCTTTTTCTATGTACTCGCAAATGACCGTAAAACGGCGCTGTAAGGAGAGGCTTGTGCACTTACCAGCAGGCGCACCAGGTCTTCTCGTCGATGGGTTGGGGAAATTGAAGTAGGGTGACGACTCGGGACTGAAACCCTCGCCCTGGGCGCCACCTGCACCGCCAGGGTAGTTGCCAGGGTACGACTGAAAAACGCAAAAGACAAAACATGAGCCGGCGTAATGAATGAAATTCGGGACAATATCTTTCAAAATCTGATTTTCACGCTTAAGTATGTTTTTTTTTAGATTTGCATTATGCAATATTCAAGTTTATAAATAAATAAAAAATTATTGAATTTGATTATAATCGAAACACAAATGAATGTCTTGACTTTCTATTATGAAATAAAAGTGAATTTGATAAATATCTAATTCAATATAAATAGTTTTAAGCTTCATATTCATGATAGAAAATTGTATTACTTTTGTTGGAACAGCAGAAATATGATTTTTTTTTTAATTTTGAAATCAAATTTGGAACATTTCTAACTAAAATATAAAATATTATTATCAATATTGGGGAGAAATATCATTTTCAGACACTACAATTAAAAAAAAACTTTTGAAACTTTTTTAATAAATTTTACTAAACGCAAAAAAATTCACTATATAGCAATTTTTATATACAAAAACTTTGAATACCATTGTGAATTGCGTTTTACGCGTCAGGAACTAATTTCGCAGAAGAAGTAGGTTGCATTCAAACAAGTCTAACAAAGGGCAATAGAAATTAACAGAAGTTATGCTTACCATTCCATTGTCCATGTTGCCATAGGACGCCGGATTAAACACTGGCTTCTCTGCAACACACAAAGCAGACACAAGATTACCGTTGGGTGTTCCGAGAAATTTCCAATCAAAAGGTGAGAAACAAGCGCGTTAAGGAATGAAAATCGACGCCCCCGGCCCGACGCGATTCGACATGCAAGAGACGCGAGGAAAAAATTGGAAGAAAATGCATCACGATCGAACTTTTTTTTTCATCCGAGGTAATGAAAGGATTGAAAAGGAAGGTGCATCTCGCGGCTGGCGCCACTTCATTATGTTATTTTGACGAATTGATCACGCCGCGGCATTCCGACGAATCGCGATTGGGAATGTTCATATTTTACTTTTCAGCTCCCGCGTGGTTATTGCCCCGTTCCTCGCTCATGCTTGGAGCAAATTTTATATATTATATCAATGCCTTATTTCTTTTCTTCCTTGTTTCGCGGAGATATATGTTTATACTGCATAAATTTCAGCTCTATGACAGCCGTCAATTTGTTTTGTTTACTGCAGGCTGTAAAATTTGATGTGCACTTCAATCTCGAATGTAAATGCGCGCGATCGACGCAGGCCGCCGTCGGCAGCAGTTTTCTTTTGTTTCGCGCGCGCGTCTTTGCATTGTCAGAAAATATTCATATTATTGTACGAAAGATGCAGAAAAAGAACAGTTTTCTTTATCCGTGTTCTTCCACTCGTGAGCACATGACACTGCCTTGATGGCTCATAATTGTTTGAAATTTGAAAACGAAATAAAAAAAAAAAATAATTACCCCAGCTGCCAAAATCGAAAAATTATCCGGATTTTATCCTTTCCCGAGAGGATAATATCCGGATAAAAGTCAGTTTTGGCAACTGGGGTATTATCAAAAGTCTGGCCTTGAAGTTGGCTTTTGAAGATCAATCGGTCAAAAATTTTGCTTACAAAACTAGGAATAAATGTACTGTCATTAGATGTGTTCAAACAGGGACAAGGAAAATAAAATTGTATAAAGATTTTAGTAGGATTTTGGAAATTAAATTAATATAACAAATATCGCATTTTAAATATTAAAAATAAATTTTACTTTTTTAAACTGTCTCAATCTTTATCTAAATTGATGGGAGGATTCAAATAAAAATCACTAATGCAAGACTATTCTAATTTTGTTAAGAGTGAAATGTTGACAATTTTCTATTGACACAAAATTTTGTTTAAAAAACAAAACAAAATTGAGATAAAAAGTGTAAAATATTTTTATTCAATAAATATTTTAAATTTTAATCAAATACCATTATAATTGCATTAAAATGGAATAATAAATAAATTAACGCTTTTGCTACGGAAATGTACGTTGAAAAATAAGAAAGAATTTTAAAATTAATTGGAAAGAAAATTTTAACAATATTCATTTTGTCTATATATTGATTTTTAAAAATGTTATATTTGCATTAATGCATTTCAAAGTGGGAGGAATGGAAATGCAGCGCAAATCCAACAATGCGCAGATTAGAAATCTTAATTCTGTGGGTTGGTCTTGGACGTGCGCGCGGTCGCACCCTGAAATCCTCATTCTCTCTCCAAACTTCAATTTTCCTCCTTCGACGTCCCAAATCGATTCAGACAAAACGCGAGTCATTCGCTCGTGACGAAACGCGAATACGTACTAAATCAATTTTGACCAAGTCACTGAATTTTCATTTTCACAGTACATTACCGGTACATAATATACGGGCCCTTATCAGCAAACTATTGAACGCGAGCCGAAAACAAAACTCGCTTGGAAAAAAAACCGGATTATTTCTAGGTGAGCAGAAATGCCCGGGGCGGATGAAAAAAATAAAATAAATAAAAGTCTCCGCGTGGCACGGCAATTGATATTTATGGCCGGGACATTTTCATCTGGAAAGATGGAAGTCCGTGCGGTTTAGGGGACCCATAACTTTTTCGAGATGAGCCCGCTCTGGAAAATAGAGCCAAAAAAAATTGAAACGCCGCCTGCCCGGGCTGGAGGAGGGGGTGGCCGGGGGTGTGAGGAACATGGCTTAGGGGAGCGACGCTCACATACTCCTCGGTACATAGTGTAACTTTTATTCCGAGGGAGACGATGAAGAAGAAGGAGCCGCATCGAACCGAGAAAGAAGCTCTCCGAGTAAAACATCCAGCGCTCTCTCTCTCTTTCTCTCTCGGCTTGATCCTCCTCCCGTAACTTTTATACACACACACGTTTATATATTATGCATGTGTGTGTGTGTCTCTCTCTTTCTCTCCGTATAGCCGTGTGCCGGTTCGAACGCCAATTTGCATAAATTTTTACCAGCTAGCGCTTTGCATCAGAATTTAAATTTTAAATCTCGGCTCCAACAAAAACAACCCAAGTGGTATTTTTATTGATTGTATTAGAAGAGCAAAGCAAATTATTATCTAAGTTAAACTACATCAAAAATATATTTCCGATTTAATAATCCCATTGTTAGAAGTGGATTGAAAAAAATTTTAAATGAATTAAAAAAAAAGTGAAATAAGGGAAGTTTGGTTGGAAAGTTAAATATTTATAAATTTCAAAAATGCTTTCTAGTTTCTATGATTTTTTTATTATAAAATTTTCTTTTTTTTAGTTTATAACAATTTGATAGAAATTGGCATTAATAATTTATTATAATTATATTTTTTGTTACAAAGATTTTTACAGTAAATTTCTTATTATTAACTACCATTGACTATGCTAATAATTGATATGTTAAAAATTAAAAAATTAATTCATTGCTGTCTGTGATTAAATTGTTAATTGTACGTTATAAAAATGTAAAAACTTTCAGATTTAGGCAAAGAATTTTACAAAAAAAAAAAAAAAAAACTTTTTTCGAATAAAGTTGACGCTTACACTTGATTCAGTTGGGGGGGGGGGGGGGAATGAAAAATTGTAAAAGATATTTCAAATCTTGCTAATTTTTTAGTGTGAGTGAGTGTTTTATTTATTTCATTTTTTTTCTTGTAATTTTTAATGTAAAGAGTTGTGTCGTGTTTCGTTTGTAAGTGTATCCCCGTTTACGTTTTAATTTTTCACAAGAAATTTTAGCTTGGATTCAGAAACTGAGCGAGAAAACCAATGGTCATAAAACGAATTAAAATGTCCACATTTGAACTTAAAATTGGAAATTTTAATTACTGCAAATCTGATTCTGGTTCAGTGTGTTGCAGTTTGCCTTAATTTTTTATTTTAAAATGGAAAAAATTAATTTTTTAAAATAAATCCAAAGCAGTTTTGAAAAGAGATAAAAGTGGAAATTTTGATTTTTTAATTTGTTTTCTGAGCATTGGTTTTCTTGCTCAAGTTTCTGAATCCATGTTAAAATTTCTTTTGAAAAATATTTAAAAATGATGGAAAAATTTTAATGTATGACCGCAACGCAGAAGGACCATAAATCACAATTTCTTTAACTCGTTTCAGTTGACAAAATGCGGCGCGATTGACTTTGTGTCAAAGCGAGACATTAAGGCGGTTTTCGCGACGAGCATGCGCTTGCCAAGCCGAACAAGGTCAGGGATATTATCCTAGCGATTCGCTAGAGAACAAAAAAATTAAAACTCTATCACTGCATGTCGATTTGGAGGCCGGGAAATCTTGCTATTCCGAGCGGTTGATAAGCAAAAAACCCAGCACGGATAAGATGATCTTTCTTCTTTGAGAGTCTACTCAAGAGATTTTCGAGCGCTTGTGCCGCGATAAGGCACCGAACACCTGGCAACATGATCAAATATTTAATTTTTTTTTCAACTGAAGAGTCGGAATGACACACGCCACCGCCGCGAATGAGTAAGTTTTTCGCATTATCTCCGGCAAACATTTATATAAACATTATCGCATTTCTATTTTAATTTCTTTCGCTTTCAAGTGCGTGGCTCAATGCGAAGCGAGGCGGACAAAACTCGGAGCTTTCCAGCTAAGCCTTTTCTTCCTTGTCGGCCGGAAATTCCTCGACTTGGATTCACTTTTAATATCTGCGAGGAGATTTCATCCTTCATTGCACACACCAACCGTCGTTTTTTGCGCAATTACTGATTCTATATTATTATTTTTTTTATCTGATCATTAGTTTTGCTGAAATTGCTAAATTAAACATGGAAAAATTAATTCTAACCGGTGATTCCATTTTAATTATAATTTATATTTAATATTACTTTTTTGAAGACGTCGTCCTCAAGGCTGGTGAAATTTATTTTAAGTAAAAAAAAATCAGCTCATCATTTTAGCGTGAATTATATAAATAATAATTAATTTTATTTAAAATAGAAATTAAAATATTTGAATTTTGAATAATTTTATCGTTTCAATTATGTTTTTGACTCAAAAGCGTTGCAAATCTTACAGCAATTTTTGACAGAATAAAAAATCGGAATCTTTGGGCTCATTTTTAATATCTGCGTCTAAAAATATTTAAATTAAAAAAATAATCATTCAAAATATTTGAATGAACTGGAGCACCAAAAGGTAAAATACCTGCATCAATTTCAATTTTTGAACAAGAAAAACCGCGGAAATATTGCGATTTTATTGTTTATTGTGTACTTCGATGTCAGTCGTGATTGAGGTAAATAGCGAATAAGAATTTGAAAAATTTGCTCCATGATTCCAAGTATCCATTGTTTCTCTAAAATGGCTATTTTTTCTCTGTGTGCGGTAAATATGATAATGCTTGTCCGCCCCGTCACCGATTTGCATATAAAAATAAATTTCCAGCGCGCAGCCAAAATCGTTTAAAAAACAAACTTGATTCCCAAGAGGTCGCGGGTCAACGAGGAGGAAAATTTTTTCAACGCACAAGACTTTCACTGCGTAAGAAAAGCTACAATAAAAATGAGCGATCAAAAAAATTTAAAAGGCGACAAGACCTTCACTTTTCTGCCGGCCAGGGCAATAAAGCAATAAATCAGGAGCCTTTACAAAAGCTGGGCTTGGGGGTGCCGCGACCCTCAGACCGGGGGTGTCAAAAGCCATCATTGCACCCATTGTTGCGTTTTGGGGCCCACCACGCGGCACCCCGCACAGCCAAAACAAAGAAACGTGCGCACCGTCCATGCGTGTTCCCACTAGATCTTTTCACATTTTGGGACTTTTAATTCACTATCCATTGTGTAGTGCATTGATTTCCATCTTTTTTTAACTTCAATAGTTTGAAAAACTAGTGTATTCTTCATTTCACGAATGACACGAATACTGATAAGGCGATTATACCATCTACGAATTATTATTGAATTAAGCTGAGACTATTAATAAAATTAAAAATATATGTAATTACAAAAATTATTTAGAAAAAAATAATTAACTTACACTACAATAAATCAAATTAAACAATGCAAATATCTGAAATAAAAAAATAAATGAAAATTATTAATAGTTACCATTTCGTAAAATAAAATTTGCAATTTTATAATTCCCCTATTTTTCCTCAATGGTGTTAAGTATCGTTTTTTTTTTTTTTTTTTTTTTCAAAATTTCAAAATTTCAAAAAAGAGAAATAAGTTGACAAATATCAAAATTACTATTTGATCGCATAATAGTAGCCTAAAATAAAAAGTGTCGTTTCCAAACAAAATAATTATAATTATTAATTAAATTCGTAAATAATTATCAGACACTAATTTTTAAACTAAAAAAATAAAATGAATTGAATTGAATTAAAAAATTTGTAGACAATTTTTCAAAATCTACTCTTTCCTAAAAACAAATTAAAATTAAATTGAAAAAAAGGAAAATTAACTATTGTCTATTGCCACTGAAAACAAACCTTGTGATTGGCTTTATATCGAAAAATTTAAAAACTTGTTTTAAATTACACAAATTGTTTTACTTTGTATGAGCTAAATAAACCGAAAACAGCAAAGGGCATCTTTAGACACCACCCAGAGGCATAACAAAAACAGTGATGGCAATATTTCCAGCACGGTTGGGCGCATCGACACCCGTTTGAAAAAAAAAATAATGGGCCAATTTTCAAAATCGTCCGACTGCTCAGTTAGCAGAGAAAGTGTCAGAGACACAAACAAAACCGAAAATAACACATAATGGTGCGATCCAGCGACTCGGAAAATGCACAAAACAAACGCGGGGGCAATCATCGGCCAGTAAATTGGCGTCTGTCGGCGGCACTACACTTTTTTTTTAATACTTTTGGGCCAAATCAGGTGGCCCGAGGCGGATTGGAATCAAATGCACGGTTTGCGGAGCGAGTGAAATCGCGAAATTCGCCCAAGGGGATGATCCCGAGGCCAGCCAGTGTCGGGAGGCCCCGATTAAAGGAGCTGCCCAGGTCGGAGCCCCTCGGAGCCCCAGACCTTCAGGGCACGGTAGGTGCTTCGGATTCGCCTCGCATCCCCGAGGACACACTTGGAATTCGGTCCATGGCAGATCCTGGACCAGAGGACAACAAACACCGTCGGCCCCCCGAAAGGGCGCCTGCGAGGGCACCGCGTTGCCCCTGGGCGCTGAAAAATGGCGGACGGGGGCCGCAGGGTCCCCGAGTGCTACTCACCAGGATTTTTGTTGGCTATTTTGTTAAAACAGTTTTGAAAAACTTCATAAAGCGCCATAGGTTCATCGTCGCTAGTCGCCATCTTCACACGAAGTTGTCGACTGGAGCAAACGCCTGGGAATGACTTTTTAGTTATCACAAACTTCCAGCAGATGTCAGCGCGGCAAATGCTCCGTGCGCCTCTGGCGGCCGACGCTGCAAAATGCGTCGCGCTGATCCACAGAGCGCTGCTCCACGCTGCTCCCCCCGACTTACCTCCAACTCACTAGTCTTCTTGGCCCATCCTAGGTTCTTTAGTTTTTTTCGTTTTTTTAATACATTTTTTTCTAAATCAGAATTTTGCAAAGGTCAATTATTTATTAAATAAATAGTAGTGCTTGTATTAAAAAATTATTTTTTCTAAAATAATAAATAATAGAATGTTATAGAAAATACAATTAATAAGTTCACAAATTAGTAAATCAAAATATGGCTTCAGTTTATTTGCACTGGGAAATTTTAAATTAAACCAACATAAATAATTTAAATTCAATTCTAACCAGGGAAAACTAGTGAAACGAATGGGAGAAATTACACTTAATTATAATGTTCAAACACTATAAACTTCTCAAACTTTAAACCATATTGAGATAAATAGCTGCGCAACCACCAACCACCTTTTAATAAAATTTGCAAAAAATATCTGCACGAAAAGTTGATGGGTAGATATTTTTTACAAAAACCTGATCTTCAATTTTAAATGTTTGCGGAAAAGAGGAAGAAAAACACCGAGAGAAAAAGCACCTTGGTGGGATTGGGCGAAGAAATAAGGGAAAATGCGTTGTCCCAGGCAGGATAAAAGTCTGTGCATGTGGGCAGAGATGCCTCGAGGCGCGCTGGCGCAGACTTTTCTGGTCGGCGCATATAAAAGCTGCAAGTCGGGCGAAATGTTCATCACTAACCACCAAATGATGACACCCCAGAAATCAGTCATTCCATCCCTTAGACGTCAGCAACTTTCCATCATCTAATTGTCAAAAGCTAGGGTAAGTAGCTTTAAAGCCGCTGCATGTTTGCAATCAATAAATTAATGTTTTTTTTACTTATCATTTAACAGTTTACAAAAGTGGACCCAAAATTAATTAAAAACAAGCTTTCTGTTGTGCAACTAAATGATATTAAATGGAGGCAAAAAATTGTGCTGTCCAATAAAAGTTTAACAAAAACGAATTGATCTAACATTTGATACCATTTATAATTTTAGTAAAAATAATTTGATATTCAATTCAATTGTTCATTCTCTCACATTTAGATGAAGTATTGTATTGAAAAAATCCGTTATTTTATATGCTCATGTTCATTTGTTTAGTAATATTTTTTTCTCAATCGCGGTCAGTGCGACTTTGCCAAACTTTACTTCAGCCTCAAGATCTCGACTTTTCTCCCCAGCGCTGTTTATTTGTTAGACACGGTTTTATTACGAAGCAGCCCTTTCAAGTGAGTTTGGAATTCGCTTTTCTGTTTTATATGCTGCGGTTCTTTCGAACACATAAATATTGCATCGCAATAAATACCTGAAATTTTTCAATAAAACTTAATTTAACTCATTTTTAGATCAAGTTCCGATTAGGATACGAATGACAGATTTTCCTGCAAACACCGTTGTAAAAGAATCAAATTCAGAGTCAATGCCCTGCTTCGCCAAATTCTCTTTAATTCAAAATAACGTCCCAAAGAAAGCAATCGTCTCTCTCGTTTTCGCACTCTAACGGCCTCTTTGGTTTACGTTTGTGGCGCTAACGCGGTGACGACTTTTTTACAACGCGGCGGCAACGAGCAAATTCATCAGGCGAGGCCCCAATAAACATTCATTTAACTGGCGCGTACGGGGTTGAAAGATGCAGCTTCTCCTTCCTCCCTGTCAAGCACGCATCTCGTCAAAATTGAGTTTTATGGACCTGACAAAGGGGTTGGCCGGGGAACTTGGATGCGTACGTCCGCAATAAAAGCACATTCCAGCACAGAGAGCAATCTCAGGTGCTACTTTGTTGGTGCCGTAGGTCGCTGAATTGCGCCACATTCACTCAAGAATTAATAAAAACTCCGTTGTCATTCTTCTTTTCTTACTAACGAATTCATTCGCAACGCATAAATTAAAAATATTATAATTATTGATTTTCTGTAATTTAGGTCTATTTCAAATTTTTTTGTACTTTGAAGACGAAAAATACTAGAATTGAAAATTGAATGATGAAATAATTTCCGAGTTTAAAAAATTCCCAAGAAATGAAAATTGCAAACATTTATTGATTTTAATATATGATTTTACATTTCCTATAAATCTATTCAATCGCCAAAATAATTACATAATCAGTTATTTGTTTGCATGCTTGCTGGAGTATTAAGCTTCTTTTAAATAATTGACCCACCCTCTTAATGAGCTTCGTATATCTCCACGGCCTCTTTTACTCATCTAGTCTTGTTTTCTGAATGGCCAATGAGTTGTTGGCCCCGGAAAAGCGGTGGCCTTTCTCTGATTTTTTTATCGTCCATCTCACGCAATCGTGAACGTTCAAAGCAAATTACACATAGCATTTAGCGTTGAATAATTGACATGTTATTGTCCTCAATTTCCCTTCTTTGCAGCCCTGAGACGAGGGGCCGTTATTTTAATTCCATTTGTTTTTATTGTTTGGCACGATATGATTTTTGAGGAGCTCAAAAATGCATTCCTACGGGAGTGGAATTTTTAATATAAAAGTGGAAGGCGTGGAAATGAATTTTGATCTACTTTGTGATAGTTTTAGCTGAGAATGGCGATTTTGACGTCAACCTCGGTGGAAAATGGCACGAACGTCACCACCACCAGCGTTCCGTGGCTCTATGATCTCACTGTCGACGACACCACTTTCGTCATGACCTCGTCGTTCATCATCTTCACCATGCAAACAGGTATTCATATTAAAGACAAGACAGAGCATTTTATTTGGGTTCTATCTTCTATCAGCATAGCAGACAGAATTTGCATGAAACTATTGTTGGAGTGAAACCAATTTTCTGAAGTATTGAATGAAGGGAGTATAAAACTTAAATGATTAATGCAGATACTCCGACAGTAGTTTCGACGAATGATTACAATGCATTTTCACACAAATATCTTTTAACCTGAAAAACCAGACGATAAATAATTTATTCTTCACTCGAACACCGCCGAGAAAGGTACGCTTAAAACACCTGTTTCAATATTCTGACCAAAATTGTTATAAAAAATAATTTGATAAATCAATTGTTAAATTTTGTATTACAAATTTTTGTGTCTAAAATGTAACTTTCAATCATTTTTCAGGTAAAAGTTGGAAAATTGTTAATTTGAAAAGATTTTTTTTAAAGCGATTGATTTTTGTACTAATTCTTGTCAAAATAATTTCACAGCTCATAATTTCATGAATTATGGCTGCAGTCCGCAGCTGAAACATGTAGAGCAAGACATTTGTTTTTTCTTAAACAATAAATAACTCTCAAATCCTATAGAGAAAAAGCTAATTTATATTCAAGTCAAATTCATACATTTCACCACCTATATTTGTATAATTATAATTAAATTTGTATGCAATTATTAATATTTAAAAATATTTTTGAAATGTAAAATTTTAAATTAAAACGGTAAAATAATCATAGATTATGAGATTATTTAATAATTTAAAAATAAAAATTAAATAATTAGTAAAAAATTAAAATAGTCATAACATAATAACACAATAAAAAATGCAATCAGATTATATAAAATAGGTTTAATGATTATATTTCAAAGCTTTATTTTTTTATTAATTTAAATTTTTGCCTTCTCGCGTCTCTGATGCAACCTGCCTATCTCTTTGGTAAAGCGGATAGCATACTCAATTTCAATGCAGGCGAACTACTAGCTGCATTAAAATATTTACTTTAGTGCTAAAAAAATGAACTAATTACCATTGAATTTTTATTTTATTTTAGAAAATAATGATGAAAGTTCCACTTATAAAATTACAGGCTTTGGCCTACTTGAGTCGGGTTGCGTGTCTCTGAAGAACGAGGTGAACATTATGATGAAAAACGTGGTCGACGTAGTTTTCGGCGGCCTCACCTACTGGGCCTTCGGTTTCGGCCTCAGTTTTGGCCGCAGCAGCATGAGTCTGCCCTTCATCGGCACTGGCGACTTTTTGCTTGACCCCGGCGAAGACTCTGAACACATGGGGCCAGTGTTCGCCGCGTTCCTCTTTCAACTCTCATTCGCTACGACGGCCACTACCATCGTCTCTGGCGCCATGGCAGAAAGGTAATTCACCCGAGGCTTCTGTATTTTAATTAATTAATTTTATCTTCAAAGATGCAATTTCAAAGCGTACTGCTTGTTCTCAATGCTGAACACGGTGGTTTACTGCATACCTGCTGGATGGGTATGGGGTGAACATGGATTTTTATTTAAACTCGGAGTGGTTGACATCGCAGGGTCAGGTCCTGTCCATCTTGTTGGCGGAACTTCAGGTAACAAATATTCCAAGGAATTTCACACGTTTTCAATTATTAATAATTTTTCTTTTAAATTTTTCGTTTGCTTTTAATGAAAAGGAAATTTTCTCAGCTTGGTCCGTGTCATTTGTTTATTTTGTAATCAAATTGCGCAGCTCTCGTCGCCACAGTGATGCTTGGTCCACGTCTGGGTCGCTACGACAACGGCCTTGACCCGATGCCCCTTGGCAGCCCCACAAACGCCCTCATGGGCTTGTTTATGCTCTGGTGGGGATGGCTTGCTTTTAATTCAGGAAGGTAGGGAAATCTTTTTCTTCTACTCAAAAATCAACGTGAAAGTTTAAAAAAAAAAATCAATTTTTCACATGCAAATTTATTTGCCTTTCTAGAAATAAAATCTTGATTTTTTTTTCATAGTTAAACTTCTTTGAAATTAAACCATTTGCAAAAAAAAGTGAGGCGATTTCATGAGTTTTATAAAATATCAACACGAGTTTTCTTTTTCAACAGCACATTAGGCATCAGTGGCCACAAATGGAAATACTCGGCCAGGGCGGCCGTGATCACAATGAACGCGTCGTTCGGCGGCGGCTTTGTTGGTCTAGTTCACTCGTACTTTCTGCGCAAAGGCACTTTTGACATCATGGACCTCATCAATGGCGTTCTCGGCTCGCTCGTGTCAGTAACAGGTGAGCGAAACTTTGCCCGGTGCCCATTGTTTGCTCCTTTTTTTCACCCTCCGCTAGTACATGAAGCCTTTAATGTGCTTTGCATTGCACGCCGCCTGGCTCAAGCAACTAATTAAAAGTTTGCAGAGCCAGCAGAGTGGCTGGTGATTACGGTGCTGAATGCAAATTGGCTCAATTTAGGTCACCTTGTGACCCTTGATTGCCCTTTGAGCACGCTTTTTAAAGCAATTATCTCAATGAAAAACGATTAACAAATTTTTCCCTCCACATTTTTATTCTCTCGTCTTCAGCCTAATTTGCACCAATGAGGATTTCCATTTAATTGCTTTCGTACGTGAGAACAAGACGCGCGAATATTGACACTCGGGCAAAAAGTGTCAACACAGACCACTAGCGGGTCGTTCGTTCTCTCAAGAGGGCGAAGGCCCTATATACTTCTTCCGCGTGCCTTTGCCAGCAGAGAGACTTTCTCTGTGTACATTGATTGTATCCATGGGCAACCAGACGCAATTTCAATATCCTGATGAGAAATGTCGCGGATGAGGTCTGAGACCAGAATACGGACGTTTGTGGCAGTTTTTGGGTCAAACAAGACAGGAGCGAAGTTGCTGAATCATAAAAAAAAAATGCTCAATCTTCATTCATTTTTCATAATTTCTTTAACTAAATACTAAGATTTAATATGTGACACGTTTTCTTATAATAGCATTAAATATATAATAAAAAGTTATAAAATTAAAAAATAATAAACAAAAAAAATGTACTGCATAGAATAAATGAAATTATTTCCTAAATTCAGCTGCTAATTTTTTATTTTAAAAAACAAATTTTTAAATTAATTGAAAAAAAAATTAGGAATAATAGAGTAAAATCGAAAACATAAATTATAGTTATTATTGTTTTGTTATTAAAAACTCCTTTTAGCATCAATTATTACCTCATAATTTAAATTAATTGCATAATATGATTCATTTTTATTTTCTTATTGGCATACGAAAAATATTCATCTCAATATTCATTCCAATGAAACACGAGGGACGTTTGATTTATTTGCTCCTATTGATCAGGGAAAAAGGAGCAGTCTCGTCATTCATTTTCCACCTCAAGGACGAAAAATCAATTTGTCTCCGCATCAAATCGTATCAGAAATGAAGAGAAATCGCAATCGTATACGGGTCGCGGAAAATTGACTGAGGACGACAGCCAACTTTTATCACTGGTCTTGTGTGATTGAATGTGGCGAAACGCAGGCGCTCGTAATCTCATTTGTTTCGCGTAACCCGATCATTCGCGCTGCCGCTTTGCGTCTCCTTTCCGCTACTTTGGTCATGGTCTCCGGGGAGACGATTATTCTCATGGTGTACCTGTTGGACCCCCGCAACTCACACCGGCAGTAAATAGGGCGTGAAACCGGACGCTGCCTGCCCGACATAAACTGCGCACCACCGCATAATCTTTAATCCAAAGAAGGGGTAAAAATAAAGACAAGAAGGGCTTTTGTTTCGCAAAGAGGAAAATAATTAGTGGTGAATGACGCGTCGCTTTTTGGAGCCGCAGATGCGAGATAAAGTTGGATGTGGGTTTGTATAGGAAAAGTTTTGGGGCGAGTAAGAAACCTGATGCGCAGACAGCCTTGACCCCTGGGATGAAATAAAAAGATCCACTTTTATGGAAAAATTCATGATCCACTTTCTCCCCTATGGAAGAAAGATAAATTTTAAAAATAATTTAAAGATTTGTCTGCAATTACGGTACACATAATTTTCTCGTAAGTTATTTGAGATTGCGGAGAAACTTTTGGCACTTTTATATTCAAGGATAGAATATAGAGAAAATGCAGACGGCCCTCGTTCTCCAGTCATAATCACGTCGTTTCGTCAAGAGGCCGCGCCAGCTGCCATAAAGAAAGCCATCACTCGTCGTTCATCAAACCCGCAGCTCGCACACACAAAAAGTGCAAAGTTCCTGCGCCACACTGCCCTATTCCACCCGCTAGTGCTCGGCAGGCGAATTTGTAGTTCTAAAAACCAATTACCCTGTCTGCTAATGAGATAATTGACCTCCCTCTGACGTCGACCAGAGTTGCGGAATGACGCGTAATTTCCAGATCAACAAAATAGAATTCCTTCAAAATAGAAAAAGAAACTAAATTTAATTCAACCCCAACATAAAAGATAGTTTGAAAACATTTCTTAAAACTTTACTTTACAGGACAAAAAATTGATTGGGAAAAATTGCTGTGGAAAAAAAAATCCTCTTTTAACACATAGAGGGCACATAAAAATTATTTCACTCAAAATTAAATGTTCAGATCTCTCTATCTAGATTTCTTTTATTAAAGAAATTCATAAATTACTTTTATATAATGCACTTTTATGTCCAAACTTTAGCGGGCTGCTATTTGTACCGTCCATGGGAGGCGGTGTTTATCGGCGCCGTCGGCGGCGCCATTGCTTGTCTGATGATGCCGCTGTGGGATCGACTGCGGATTGATGACCCCGTCGGGGCTACCTCGGTGCACGGTGAGTCACGCGACCTGCGTAATGACCTCTCGTGCATTAAGCCAATATTATTCTCACCTTCCGCGCAATAAATCACCTAACCGTTTTTCCCCATTGCACTGCCTGTCAGGTGAGGTGCAATATCAAGCACGTCTCAGCTAAAAATTGCACGCAATAAAATCAATTGTGCTAATTGTATTCCGCTGAAATAGGTTGTGCCGGGTTGTGGGGCGTTCTGGCTGTGGGCATTTTCGCTCTGGACCCAAAACTGTTGAATACAACGAGAGGACGATCGGGACTCTTACATGGTAAATAAAATACAACCTTGATATATATAAAATGGCTTAACAATCATTAGCAATCAACTGCCTTGCAAAGTTTTTCCTTTCCAACCTCTTAAACATTATGTTTATATTTTATATAAATGCATTAACAAATATTTTATTTTGTAGTTATTTATTATTTAAAAATAATTAAATACATGTGAAATTAAAAAATAAAATTAAATACAAAATAATATTAAAATAAAACTTATTGACAAAAATTATATTTAAAGTAATATAATTTTGTATTCAATATTTTTTATTTTATTAAATAAAAATCTAAAAATATATATAAAAAATAAATTTATAATGAGGGCGATCCAAAAGCCTAACCTGGCCCAGGCTAACTTGACTTAGCCCCGGGCTAACTTAGCCCACCAGCAAAATTGAATGGCGGGTTAAATTATCCCGGGCCAGGTTAATTTAGCCTGGGTGGCCTTTTTGATCGCCCTCAATTTTTTTTAACTCTTCAACTCAAAGTCATACCCAGTTGTTAATTAAACTTATTAAATCTTAAATAAACTGTTTTCTAGGAGGTGGATGGTATTTACTGAGTGTCCAGGCACTGGCCGCTCTCTGCTATATTGCTTGGTCAGCCACAGTGACCTTCCTTCTTTTATGGGTATGAAAATTAAGTAAATATCCTTCTCATTTTTATAAAACCTCAGAGCTTAAATCTCTATAGGTTGTGAACAAAATCATCCCTCTAAGGATGAAACCGCACGACGAGCTCCTGGGCGCCGACCTGACCGAGCACCTGATTCGCCACCAGGGTGTCGGTGTGTCCAGGGTGCTCTCGGCACTGATCAACCAGCAGCACCAAGAGCACCAAATCGTCAGTTTGCAAAATATCACAGTTGTTGGAACAAATACCGGTAAATTTAGATTAATTTAATTCAATTGCACCATGGTAGATGAATTTATAACACTGTATTTTGAAAAAAAAAATGCACGCGTTTTGCACTAAAACTAGAAGACCAGCCTGTAGAGCACAACAACACCTCTTGCCCTCCTGAAGACTCGCGCACGCCACACTGCTGCGGTTGCCTGAACGCAGGATGCACAGCCGCAGAAACGCTTAGTTTGAGGTTCGAGTTGCGCCTCAATGTAGCCAGGTAGAATTTTAAGCTATATATTTTTAATGGTAATTGAAAATTTTACAAAAGGAAAGATTTCAAAATGTAACTTTCCAAAATAATAAAAAATAAATTTAGAGAAGAAACATGTTGATTTTCTTAATCTTTTTTTTTTTATTTAATTATATGCATAATTTATTAAGTTCTGATTTTGAAATGGGAAAATTTTCAGGCCACGACAAATATCTGGAGAAACTTGTTGCATCCCTGCAGGGTCGGAGCACAGGTCAAAGGGGCTGGAGGGTAGGCCCTGCAGGGGCCCTCGCTCTGATACGCCCTCCTCCAGCCCCTGCCAAAGCAATTCCCCGAGCGGCGGCCGACAATTCGGCGGCGTGGCTCACGTTGCCCCCTGCACAATCATCCCTGTCGCCCTCTGCAGACCCGCTGCGGGGCACCTCGGCCAGAGCCAGGCGCCGGATGCTGGGTGGCGCGGGAGCAGGACTCTTGTCCATCTCGCGCAGGCAGAGCAGCATTCTTCACTAGAACTGCAACCACTCAAGAGGGTAATAATGCTCAACAGTTAAAATTTAAAAACAAAAATCTCCAAATTATCTGCATTTTGCATTTTACTGTTGGACATCAAATAAATTAATTGAGGTGAAGTGCTTTTGAAAAAAATTTGTTCTTTATTCACAAACAAAATAGTGTATAAAAAAATCAGGAAAATTGGAAAAATAATTTTTCAGGACAAAAAAAATTAAATCGCAAAACTAATAGAGTTCAAGAACCAACCTATTTTTACAACGTACTGTTTCCCATTAAATTAAAACCCATATCCCATATTCTTCAAAAAAACAGCAGTGGATGACAAAAAATTATCACAATATTAAAAGATCGCCCCATTGAAATAGAGTTCATCCTTGAAAATTTTAATTTTAATTATACTCTCTATTTGTTTAATTATACTTGAGATGCTGTAATATGTGAGCAAACAGAGTTTGAAATTTGGGAATAATAAATTATGTTAATTTTTCTCAGATTTTATCTAAACCTGCGACGAGCGAGTCTGGTGTGTCATGGTTTGGAAACCTCATACATTCGAAGAGCTACCCTCAATTATCCGTGTGATTTTTCATTCATCCAATGTGACAACGTGTATACTCAATAAAAATAATTGATGTGATTTATTGTTAAAAAGTTTTACGTAGAGACAATAAAAAGATAAATGTGATTTAAAAACTGTTATCCTTGTCGTTTTTATTGAAGTTTTTTTCTCATAAATAGATAAAAAAAAAATGATAATAATAAAATAGAGAGAGATATGTAGGTTAAAAAAGGTTTCCATTGGTTGGAAAATATTCTTTCTGAAAAATAGAAGGGAGAGGTCAATAAAGCTGCGTTTTTATTAAAAATAAAAAATTCTGGATTTAAAGAAATATATTTTTTTGCTTCAAAAATAGGGCGAGGGTAAATTCTCACTTTCATAAATACTTGTAAAACGAAGGAGGGGTGGTAAAAAAATTTATCATTTTCACATTTTACTCTCTTTAAACTGCTTTTTGCTGGAAATGTAAATTTTCCATGCATTTTTTTCCAAAATAAATGCATTATTTATTTAGCCAAAAATAGCCAACCTTCACGAATTATTAATTTCTATGAGCCCAAAAATACGAGCAAACAGAACCTTGTGACATAAAATAAACGGGTCAAATGTCACTGAATAATTAAAATCTGCGTGACGCGTCGCGCGTCTCCTTAGCTTTGCCGTGATTTTAGAGGAAAGATTCGCTGCGACGGTGCTCATTTGCCTTCCAACTTCTTGCGACGCCGGCACGAGGCAAATAGCACAGCATCATGGGTGAAAATGCGACAGAGGGGCCTCACATCCCGTGGCTCTTTCAATTGGGACAGGAAGATTCAAACTGGGTCATGACTTCTTCCTTCATCATTCTCACAATGCAAACAGGTATGGGAATTTTTAATTATATACTTTTTTCAAGAAATTAAAAAAAAAATCATCTTAAAAGGTTTCGGTCTCCTCGAATCGGGCTGTGTGTCATTGAAAAACGGCGTCAACATCATGATGAAGAACGTGGTCGACGTCGTTTTCGGCGGCCTCACTTACTGGGCCTTCGGGTTTGGCCTCAGTTTCGGCCGAAGTCCCCTAAACACCCCTTTTTACGCGCTCGGGGACTTTTTTCTCGATCCTGATTTTGAGGACGAACTAATGGGGCCAATGTTTGCCGCCTTCCTCTTCCAGTTGTCTTTCGCCACGACCGCAACTACAATCGTATCTGGAGCAATGGCAGAAAGGTATTTTTTTTGTCTTTTAACAATTAATTTCTACGGATTCCTTCCTGGGTGAAATAATGTTAAAAAAAAATTAATTATAGGTGCAATTTCAAAGCATATTGCCTCTTTTCACTTATCAACACCGTAGTCTACTGCATCCCAGCGGGCTGGGTTTGGGGCGAACATGGATTTTTGTACAATATGGGAGTTGTGGACATCGCCGGTTCAGGTCCTGTGCATCTTGTTGGCGGAGTTTCAGGTAATTTCTTTTTTAAATTGAATTTTAAAAATTCTTTTCTTTTTATGTTGATGGAAAATATTAATTATTGCATGGTTTAACTTTTTATTTCTATTCTTCAAAGCTTTTACAGCAGCTTTGATGCTGGGGCCTCGATTGGGTCGTTACTTGAATGGAAATGATGCCTTGCCCCTTGGGAGCCCTGTGAATGCTGTGATGGGACTCTTCGTCCTCTGGTGGGGCTGGTTGGCTTTCAACTCTGGCAGGTACTGTGTATTTCAATTTTCTTTAGTTTTATCTAAATTAGAACATTTAATTATCTTTTATTTTAATCCGCTTAAAAACTAAAAAAATAATATTTAATTTTTAGTTTAAAGGTAATTGCGCTGTATTAAAAAATTCTTTCTTCTTGTATCGATTTCTATATTGTACAAACCCGCGTAACTTTTCCTATTTAGCGCAGAAAAGATTAAGTCGCAAAATCGTGAGCATCAATCTTGCTAATTAGCCGGCCCACGTGTAACAGGCGACAGGATTTTTACGCGCGCGCTTTTCCGCACTGAGCTTGGTGGGTCTGATTAATTCTCAGTCTAATTAAAGTTGACGGCGCGTCCTGCGCAGCATAAAAAAAGTGAAAGTGAACAGAGAAGCGTGGCTTAATTGGACGGAATAATCTGCGCTGTAATTGCAAGTCTATGGGTCAGCAAAAGTAGGGGTCTTCTAGCCGGCCCAATAAAATCACGTCAAAGTCACAAGTCGATTTGTTATTCCCTTTGAATCTCCGCGATATTGACGAAAAACAAGACCAAGGCCAAATTGTGCCCTCTTATTACAAATTAAAGGAAGGCACCGGGGCAAGGTCTTTTGTTATATCATTTAATATTTGCAACAATCCCAACAAATTTAAGTTTATTTTTGCAATTAACGTTAGGGAGTGATGAAAAAATAGAAAATAATGTTTAAAGTGACGAATTTTCTCCAACAGAAAAGTTTCAGGTCTGTAAGTTTTAGTCTACTAAATTTTTATTGAACGCTAAATTATATTATTTTATTAAATTATTAACTAAAGAAGTAGGAAACTCCAATTATCATCAATTCATCAGCCTATTAAAATTTTATTTAAATTCTCTAAATTTGCCATTTTATTTTAAATTTTGAAAATAATTTAAGAAACTAAGATTGATGTTGAATATTTCAGCACGTATGGAGTGACAGGTGCTAAATGGCAATACGCTGCCACTGCTGCTGTCCTCACCCTTCTGGCCTCCTTCGGTGGAGGCACCGTCGGCCTCCTGTACTCCACTTTGACCCGAGAAGGCCACTTTAATATCATGGACCTGATCAACGGGGTACTCGGCGCCCTCGTCTCAATCACAGGCAAGGAACAATAATATTTTAAAATTATTATAAAATCATTAAAGTTTGGTTTCCAGCCGGCTGCTTCCTCTACCGCACCTACGAGGCTGTGCTGATTGGCGCCATAGGTGCGGTCATAGCGTGCACCACTGCGCCCTTCTTTGACAAAATCGGGGTTGACGACCCCGTGGGTGCCAGCTCGGTGCACGGCCTGGCGGCAATGTGGGGCGTTCTGGCCATAGGACTTTTTGCTGAAGACCCGAAGCCCCTCACCACGACTAACGGCCGAAAAGGACTTTTCAAAGGAGGCGGGTTTGAATTGCTTGGAATTCAGGCTATGAGCGTTGTTAGCCTGACTGTTTGGGCCATGGTCAGCACAGCAATAATTTTAATAGTAAGCATCTGAGAAGAAAAAAAGACAATAAAAAATACATTTCATTATTATTATTTTTACTGCAATCAATTTTTCGGCACTTTTTTGTGTAGTGGTTTACAATTAGAACTTTTACCAATTTAACAATGACTTGGGTAACTTTTTTAGTGCGTAAACTGGATGATTCCAATAAGAATGACCGAAATAGAGGAGCTCCTAGGCGCCGACTACAGCGAGCATAGAATTATGCAAGGTGGACACATTGGAGTGAGCAGGGCAGTTTCTGCTCTGAGGCCATATCACGACATGGATGAAATCGGAAGAACCGGAACTAATCCAGGTCTAAAGAATTTCACATTCTTTTTTTCCTTATTAACTTATTATTTCAGGGCACAATGCATATCTTGAATTGTACATCAAGGAGAGACGGATTGAATCTGATAATAAGAAAGAAGAAGTGAAAGTAAACATGTCCCAACCTTTCAAGAAGACGTCAGCAAGGCACATAAAAAACCCTCTGAACCTTCGGAGGCCTGAGTCAGCCCTATCGTCCATGCGCAACCACAACAACGAGGCTCGGAGAAACGAGCAAAATGAAAACGAACCTGCTGGAACATTTTCGACCATCCCCACTATTTCTGTAAACAACGATTACTACCCCAGATACGCCTGGCTTGATTGAATTTACAAAAGATCAAAATTATTGAAAAATTTAAAAATAATTTATTATGTTCTCATTTGAGGAAAAGATATTTAAAATTAAATGCTAAACTAAACTGATCTCTGCCCATTGCTGCACCTCTGTGGGCAACTCTTCGTACCTTTTGACCGCATCTTTCACTTGCTGAGGTGTGAGTTGGAAATGGTACAGCTGGTATTGGCTCTGAGTCTTCGCCCCTTGTCCAGCAGCAGGCAAAATAAGCTCCAGAGCCTGGAAAAATATAAATGTGTAAATAAAGAAATATTTGGAAATTGGTAATTTAAAAAAAAAATCGTTTTAAAAAAATACCTGAAGATGTTCGAAAGCCTTGATCACTGTGTTTCTAGTGCAGTCTTCAAAGCCTGAGTGGCTCTTAGCAAATTTCAGGTAACGAGAGTAGACCATTTCAAAGTTGACAGGGTCACCCTGATAGACATCTCCCAAATGCTTCATGGCTATCACCTGTTCTTAAAGACTCATAGTTTACATCGGAATTTGAATTTATATTTTAATACCAAACAAAGCTCCAAAACTGAGAGGCCGTCCAAAATCTGGAGCCAACCGTCGGCAATTACATCATCGAGGGCTTTTTCAAAGTCTTGGCCAGACAATGTAGGATTACCCTCATGCAATCTACTTATTGTGTGAAGCTGGAAACAGAAAATTTGATTTTATTTATATTCCTCCTTCAGATTTAAAATAATTACAAGAAGTTCTTTGGTGGAGTCTTCACTATTCTGCATGTCATACAGTCTTTTGATGCAGTTGTAACCAGTCTCATTTTGAGCCAAAAGAGCTGCAACACATTTATTCCACTCTCTGCAGAACGTTCTGTCCAGCTTGCTAGGATCGGACAAAAGCCACTCTTGACAAAGGGCGACTCGAGATTCAAAATTCTTGGCGTTGTTTGCAGGAAGGAGGTAAATGCTTCGGTACGAAAAACGAGATCTGACTCTCTTCTCCATTCGGTCCATCACGTCCAGTCGAACTGTCACTCCAAGGACAAACACGGAGCTCTGAAAATTTATATACTTCGGTTATTTCAGAGAAAATTTTCTACAAAATTGACAAACTTCATTTCTGTGAGCCAAATCAAAGAGATTGTAGAGAAGTGACTGGTTGTGGTGGTTGCAAAAGAGGTCCACTTCCTCTAGAATGAAGACAAGCGCTTTTTCGTGGTCAGCCTTGTTCAAAGTGCTCAGCAAAAGGGCCATGTTCTCTAAAAATTTCATTTTTAATTATAAAAATATCATAATTTAACTATAATTTCTACCAGCAAAGTTTCCAGTCACTTGTTCGTCGATGACATTCTCGAGTTTCAGTTGCTTCGACATAGACTTGAGGGACAGTCTGTCGTCGGTGTGGATGAGTCCGTTCAGATTGACCACCAGGGCCTTTTTATCAAAGCCCTTTTCCTTTGAGATTTCTTGCAAAACACTCCTCACAAGCTACAAAAATATGCAATTTTTTTTTAAATTTCCTCCAAAATCTCATGGCACAAACCGTGGTCTTTCCACTGCCGGCAGGTCCGATGAGCAGGGCCGAGTTGCTGTCACCATCCCGGACGGCCCTCCTGATCAGGTCAAGCAAATTTTTGCGCTGTTCTTCAAACCCTCGGAACTCGGCCGGACGCAAAATCCTCTCTCGGATCTGCCGCTTGCACTCGTCCAATTCGGACATCTCCATCGTCAAGTTGGGCATTTTGAAGTAATATACTTATCAATTAAAGGGAGAAGGTTTAAATAAATAAAATTGCAATGCAGGCTTGTAGAAAAAGGCGACCAAGAGAAGAGTTTTGGTGGCGCGCTTTAGAGTAAAAAGAAAACAAACGGCAGCTGACTGGCTCAGTAATTCTGTAAATCGCCACCAGATGGCACAATTCAATCATTTTTTCGCGATTTTAAGCCAACCTTTTTTTATTTTATTTTCATTCATTTTCTCATTTAAAATAATTATTTAATTTCTGAAAAATTTTCCGCTTTTGCCAATTAAGTAAGAAGATGACATATAATGTGCAAAATTATAAATCCGAAGACTCACTTTGGGCGAGAACAATAGGGTTGACGCGTCAACGTTGCCTGGCAGCTGGGGTGTGTAATTATATAATTCTAACATAATTGTGATATAGCAATCTGGACAAACAAACAACATATTACTTTAACTTTATTGATCAATTTAATTTTTTAGCGCACATTAAATTTATGTTTAACCATTAAATGAGGGCCTCAATTAAAACATAATTATTTTCACGACGGGCTGATATACGCGTGACAAAACAAAAAAGGCACAGGTTGAAAAGACTTTGTCTTGGTGTCACCCTAAAAATCAAAATAATAATGTAATATAAATGCGGACAAGACTTGCCTGCGGCCCGGAGACACGGGAGAGAGCGTCGCAGGACCAGAAAGTGATAATATAAAATGAAACCTTTTTAAAACACTTTTGTACTGATTAAAAAAAAAAAAAAATTATTAAAATTTTCATACTAAATTCAAAAAATTAATTGCTTTCAACAAGAGTACGTAATAATATTAAAAATTTTCAATGTTTGATTTTGTGGAAAGCTATCGTTACATGCAAAATAAATATAACCTTTTACATAATTTACTGATCACGGTCCTCTCATGAAAAATAGCGAAAGAGTAAACATGAGTACAATTTTATCACCAAAATGATTTTCTTTCATATCATACGCAGTGAATGTGTAAATCGTGTAAATATGTGTTCAGACACATAACATTTCTTTTAACGCTTGAAGAAGAAAACAAAAATAGACCATTATCATGATCAAGATCTTCAGACCAACCAAATATTTGAAGCAGAATAATTATTTTCAATTAATTTGTCACATTTTTTTTTTTTTTACAATAATTTCAAGTGTTAAAAAATAAAAGCACTCTTACTACAATCATTTTATTTCTGCTATTTTTATTTTCTGTTTTCATCAAGCCGAATAGTTTCATCAGCTCTTGGTATTATCGATTGGAAGGCACAAATCAAATTGTTTTCCACTTTTGGCCCTCCGGTATCGTGACGATTGGTCAGCAGGTCGGTACACTTAGAGGCTGGCTGTGCAAACAATAACAGCGCACCACCTGTCATCGCGTGTTGTTTGTTTGATTTGCCGATCCCAAAAGCAGACATTGAAACTCTTGTTTTTTTCTCTCTCTCGCGTCCAAAGAAGGAATACGAGGCGACTCTCGTTATCACTGCTCGGCAACAAGTGCACGACCGCATGCTAATGAGAGGGGGCTGCTGACTGACTTGAGAAAACAAGCCAAGCAAACTGGCAGTGCGCGCGGTCCATCGCTCATCCTCCGCTCCTCACTTCGGCACTGAGCACCATGTTGGCCGGACAGGCGCGAGCGGCCCTCGGCAGGGCCTTCTTCCAAAACGCCACCCCCGAACTCGCACCCTCCAGAAGAGCATTCGCCGCCACAACCCACACATGGTAAGTGCGGCATTAATTTTATACCCATTGTATTGAAAACTGTATTAATAATTGAATTGTATTGAAAAATTTGTAAAATTCAACTTTTACATAATAATAGTCAACCAATTAATAATGATTTTTTTTTAAAACTAACATTGTTTTGTCAATTATATGAATAATAGTAAACATGTGTTCAAAACTGTGTTTTTTTACTAAATTTTATAACAAATGACTTAAAACTATTTTGTTTCATGCCTTATGATTTTAATCAACGAATAAATTTGATACTTAACATTTAATTAATTTTTAAATATTATGATAAATAACAAATATGATCTCAAAAATTCCAATTTTTTTTTCTTTTTTATACTTAAATGATCTAATATTATATTCATTATCAGGTTTGATGTACTTATAATGAAAGGTCAAATAAATTTAAACATCTCAATAGAACTTAGATTGCTTCCAATCGTTGTTTGCAAATTATGAAATATCCATTAAATTATAAATAATCGATTTGTGACCAGATAACGTAACAAGCACACAGTGCGTTGTTTGTACCTTCCGCCTTATCAAGTCGGTCAGATATCCGTGATCAAAATAATTATTGAACTGCCGTTTTCCAATCATCAACTTATCATGCAAATTTAAAAGGAAATCAATTCGCAATGGTGAACTTGCAAAAAAGACGCGCAATTCCCAACGTGAATTTTTATTCTCACCAGCATTCCTCGCTTACTTTTTAATTAAATTAAAATAATAAATACATTTTTAGAACGTCGCTGAAGTCAACTTTGCCAAAGAAGAAAATTTTAGTGCGTCACGCAGGTGAAATAACATCTTGCTTTCGGCAAATTCAACTAGTTAAAATTCGCGAGCAACCTTGAAATTTTGCCACAGACCTTGTTGCGAAATTATATAAAGTGCCCACATAACATTTTTTTATTGTTACCATCCTGCAATTATCATTTAACCGGCTGTTACCAGTTTTTCGTGGTTCGGGAAGCCAGAACCGGCGCCTGCCGTCCGCGGCCCCATCACCAACAAAACCGAAATCATGCAGTTCAACGCCGCCTTTCCAGACGTGGTGCGCGACCTGACCGAAACCGGAAGACATCTCGAAGTGCCCGCGGCCACTAAGTGGTTTGCCCAGGTACTTTGAACCAAAAACTCCAGAAAATATAAAATGATCGGAATTTTCTTGTAGGTTTTGCAGTACACGGTTCCGGGAGGAAAACGAAACAGAGGTTTGGCCGTCGTACAAGCGTACAAATATCTCGCCCAAGAAAACACTGCGGAGGGACTTAGACAGGCGCAGCTTATGGGATGGGCCGTTGAAATGGTAATATAACACCTTTTTCTAGTAAAGAATATTAAAATATTTATTAAAGGTCTGATTATTATTATTATTTTTTTTTGTAATTTTTATTTAAAAAGCTTATTGCTTAAATCTTGCTAACTTATGTAATTTTGAACAAATAAATCTTGTTTTGATGAGAATTATCGGGTTAAAAATTAAACATCATCTTAAATTCACTCCTAAAACGATTAATGAAAATAAATAAATAAATTTGCCAAAATAAGACATTTTTATCGTTTTAATTTCTTTTAACAAAAACTCCCAGTGATTCGCTTGTAATCAAAGACTCCTTAAAGCTCATTTGAGGTTGTGAACGCAAAACATAAATGTATAAATTTTCACAGCTTCACGCCTCGCTAAGCGTGGCCCAGGACGCCCTGGACGGCGCCGAGTTGCGTCGCGGCCGCGCCAGTTGGCCCGTGCACTGCGGCCTGGGCCTTCGGGCCGTCAACGACGCGGCCCTCCTTGAAACCGGCCTCTACGAACTGCTCAAAAGGCATTTCCGCACACATCCTCTCTACGTCGAAATCCTCGAACTCTTCCACGACGTGAGATTGAAACTTAAAATAGGAAAGGATTTTTTTTTTATTAAATTTGTAAAAAATAACAGGTGACCCACAAATCGATCATGGGCCAGGTGCTGGACATTCAGGCCCGCTCGGATGCAACCCTGGAACTTTTCACCATGGAAAGGTATCAGGCCATCGTCAAGTACAAGACTGCCTACTACACATTTCAACTGCCCGTCATTCTCGCCATGTACCTGGTAATATTAACATTTCACTAAAAAAATTATTACATTTATACTATAATTTGACATTATATTCAGAATTTTTAAATTTATTCTTGCTAATTTAACGTGATAAATTCCAAAAAGGAAAAAAATAATTGCTAAAAAGTCAGTTTTAAGCAAGGAGATTTTGGAAAGAATTTTAATTTGTAATCTAATTATTGCAGCAGTAAATTAATTAAATAATCTCTCTGTAAAATAAACTAAACCGTTCACTTCTCCATTAAAAAGGAAAACCTTCAAATATTTAAACATGGAAAAAATTGCGCCACATTTAGATTTGATTCATTCATTTCTCTCATATTTTTGGTGTGTAGATTATTTATATAACTCCTTTTATTTGATTAGGAAGTTGATTGAAATTATCTAAGGCTGATGTTGAAAGCACGTGGCCGCAGAATGGCAGAATGAATTGCACACGCTCTGGTCGGCACAAACTCTTCCTTTGTGCGTGCATTAATTAATAGAGCGAAACCTTGACCTTGCCCGCCCGACGCTGTTGATGCATGTTTTCATTTTTATATCCTTTCAATCCGGGTGACAATTAATTATGCGCGCTCGTTGAGTAGTTGAATATCATTTGCATAGGCAGGTATATCAGATTATCGCAAGTGGTTTGCCATAAGAGTATGAAAACCATTCTCGTTGCGAATTATTGTTGTTTTGAAAATCATCTCATCACGTGAACCGGCAGTGCACTTCTTTTCGTTTGACTTCAGCGTGCGTGTGACAGACGTGGAAAGGTCTGAGAGGTCAAATAAGGGGTCAAGATCATTGGCTTGTTAAGAGAAAAGTGGGTCATTCGAGAGCAATGATTGCAAATGCTGTCGTTTTCTTGCAATTATACCGATCTGAGTTTGAATTTTATCGATTTTTAATAAATTTGATAAAAACATTACAATAAAATTGAGCCCCTAAATATGAATCAAGTTGCGTCAATGATGTTTTTTCCTACAAGATTTTTTTTGATTGAAGATTAATTTGTTTGTAGTTCCGTCTGTTGACAAGCACACAAATACTAATGAATCATCAATTTCACTTTCAATAATCTGTGTGCAATTTTCTGACGTCTTTCAGGCCGAGAACAATGATTCAGAATTGCACAGACAGGCTAAGACCATCCTCATGGAAATGGGACAAATTTTCCAAGTTCAGGTTGGATTAAAATTTTGCTTTTTTCAATCAAACTGAATTAAAAAAAAAAAAAATTAATATTAAATGTTGATAATAAAATCAACAGACTGATTTTCTGGACTGTTTTGGTGACCCAAGCACCATTGGACACGAATCTTCCGATATTGAAACAGGACGGTGTTCTTGGCTGGCGGTTGTTGCCCTTCAGAGAGCGAATCCTGCCCAGAAAAAACTCATGCAGGTTGATTTTACCTCACATTTCTTTAACTTTCCTTTTAATGTAAATTGAGCTGCAGGAGTGTTACGGAAGCCGAGACCAAAACAAGGTGGAGAGGGTGCGCAAGTTGTACAGGGAATTGGCCATTCCGGCCACCTACCGCATCTACGAGGAGCAAAGTTACGAACTTTTGTGCCGCCAAATCCAGCAAGTGTCCAAAGGGTTGCCGCACAAACTCTTCTTCCGCATTCTCGAGAGCACTTACGTCCGTCAGAACTGACAAGGGACGCCATCAGCTCAAACCACCGACTTAATATTCAAGATAAAATGAACAATGGAAAATAATTGATCAAAGAATCTCTCTAATGAATTGGAGAAAAAAATTAAAGTGTCGTAAAATATATCTTTCATTAAATTAAGATAAAATTTTTGATTATAATCAAACGAAGTGAAATATTTTGTGGATGTGTACATGCTTATTAAAACTTTTTGAAAATATCAAATAAATAAAATGTGGAAAATAACTTGTGGGTACTCTTATTTTATGCAACAGCAAAATTAAAAAACATCCCTATAAATTCACGTTACTAACTTGACCACCTTTAACAGAAATTATCTAAAATAAAGAAAGTTTAAAAAAAAGAGTGTAAAATTTGCCATGAAAAATAATAAATAATGCAACTTTGCAACTTGACGAATATGATTAAATTTACATGATCCATTGTTTTAATTTTGGGTGACCGTGGTTGCAAGGACTTATTAGAGGTGTGTGAAGAAGACAAATTTGCGTTTTCCCATGGCGGTGATGCGTGGGAGGAGTGACAAATTTGGCACTACTTGCATTTACGTGCTATCTAAATGGCAGATTTATTGCGCCTATACCTACAGGTGTGCAGGCAAATTGCGAATCGGCGCGAAAACACGCAAATATAATAAATTGCGTATTCAGTTGGGGCGCGGCGAAAGGAATGCTGATGCGTGTTTCTGATTATTTACTTACTGGGAAATGAGCATATCAAAGAATAAAATGCACCGCCTGCTTTTCGCAGCCGCGCAACGAGGGAGCGAGGGAGGCGCTGATAAATTATTCATGACTCACAATCTTCCACCTCGCCTCTCACATGATCCAGCCTGACGTTTTCACGCACAAAAAGTTTGCGCCGTGCACCATACAAGCGGCGATAAAGCGGCGGCAAATCATAATCAATTTATTCCGACGCCGCCAGCAGCACAAGCGATCGCGTTTTTTGCATTTTCTTTGGCAAATCGAGCAGAAAAAGGGGGTCCTTATCGCTCTTTTGAGAGTGATTATCATTCCCGAAAATGTGTCATTTTAAGACATTATTAAATCAAGAGTGTAATTATAACATATAAAATAAATTATTTATATTAAATGTCATAGATGATTTAAAAAAAACATTTTTAACAGTTAACATATTAGTTTGAAATTTAATGAAATTTTGAAGAAGTTTTTTTTATATCTTTTAATAAATAATTTAATACATTTCAGACTTTTATTTTAAATCTTTCAGCATATCCAATTTTTATAGACAAAATATTGTCATTTGAATTTCCTCGATGAAAAATTAATCAAAAAATTTAATTTAGGATGTTGGTTTTTCATCGTTAAAGAAACCATAATTTACACCATTTGATAAGAATTTAAGTTAATTATTACATAGAAATTCCCACATATTTCAATGCTATTAATTGTAACTAAATTAAATCTATCGTGGTTCAATTTTTGCACTTGCAAAATCCATCAATTTGCAAATTGGAATTGGCCATCTCCATAACAATAATAGAACGAGAAAAGCAAACAGCAAAAGCCGGCTCTCTTCTTGTCACCCATGCAGCTAACGTTAGCAGTGCACATTTCACAATTTCCACTCGAGTGTGTGACAATAAATTACGAATCGACTTCTGCTTGGCGGCTCTCGGTCGTGTGTATTGTGAACAAGTTCTACTTTTGTTGTCTCTTCCTATCTATTGTTGTGTGTTGTCATTTGGCTGGAAGTACAGCTAAAGTTCTGCGCCCTCGCACAGCAGCGATCAGCAGATCTGTATCGATTTATGAGAGTCTGCAAAGCTCATATCGCATCTAACAAATCTATAACGTTACAAAAATTTGGAAAATAATAAATTTACTATAATATAAATAATGGATTAAGTATTTGAACAATTAAATTTGTAAACTATAATTTATTTTATAAATAAGAAATGTCTTGCATACATTTTTAACCTTTCCTTGTAAAATTAACTCTTATTTTTAATTAAAAAAGATAGTCTTAGGTCAATTAAATGTTCAATTGGAAAAATTTAAAAATGAAATATGTTAAAATGTGGTTTTTAAATTTTGCTGATTTTTTGTATTTTTTCTTGCTCATGAAATAGGGTCGCAGACCGTGACCGAAACTGGTAGAGCCGTTTGTTTTTTAATAAAAAACAATTTTTTGCAACGAGGAAAAGCCCGAATCTTCATTTCCATGATCATCTCCTCGAGTGTCAACTTCTTCAAAGAAATATTATATTTTTTTTATTTTTTCAATAAAAAATGTAAAATAATTATCCCTCCATAATTTATTACATTCTACAAATTACAATAAATAATTCAAATTCAGATGACCAACTACCACCTTCTCTACATTTAATGAGCACTTATAATAAAAAAACTGCACCCCAAACCCCAAACCAAAGTGACCAACCATGTCATTAGAGGAGCGATTACACGGCTAGAGCTCTATTAAAGCAAGGGTTGACGGAAGGTTTTGCGTGCTTGTCCGGTGAAAATTGGGAGGGGTCATCTGCGTGGCCGGGTCTGTCTGCCACCGGTCGCACGCTCATCAGAAATGCGACACACCCCTTGGAAAATTACACAGGCCTCCATTTTTCCAGCAGCCGGGGCGAAAAAAGTCCGTCCGTTCGTGTCGCAGCGATAGATCTAGCGCGGCGGTTACTCAGCGCTGAGCACCCCCGCCGAGACAATACCAGGCACCCCCGGAGGCGCAATCTCGAGAGGGCGTGTACCAGACACCCCAACTGGACCGCTCGCCAGCTCTTGATCCGCCGCAATATCAAATTATTTATTTTTATGGCGGCCCAACTGCTTTGCTGCTCTTTTCCCGGCGGCCGGGGGTGGCATTTTCGCGCTCATTTGCGTCGAGGGTGCGGCGTGTGCGAGTGTCACGCGCGTCCCCCGCCAAAGTTAACTCTCCAAATTAAATTATCCGCGATTACGATCAAGTCGCACACAAACGCCGGCAGCCGAACTGGGTGAATCAAAGCGGAACGATGATACTTTCCAACTCGATAGTTCAATTTAAAAAGGGTTATGAATCACAAGTTTTGTGACAATTGATAATTTTAAAAAGCTGGAAGTGTGAACATGAGTGTAAGAAATTTTTAAATTTCAAATTTTCATGATCCTACAGATGACGCAACATCATTTCTTTTGAAATTTACATTTTGTCAATGTGATGAAATTGCAAGACGAGTTTTTTTAAGAATTTTTAAAATGGATTTTTTGTGAATCACCAAAAAAGGCTAATTGAGAGTAGTGAGAGTCTTTATGAGACAAACTGAAAGAAATCTTGAAACACGCCAACTAATCAAAAATAATCACAATAGTTTTCAAAGAATTTCTACCCTAAGTAAGTATAATTTTATATTGCACGTCACATGCTAGGGTTGTGAAATTGCAAAAGGGGCACACTTGGATTAATTGCAAAAATAATATTTCTTAATAAAAAAATTAAATCGCTGTTCATTAACTATTTTACTTTCCTGGGGAAACCTTTTCGCCCCGATTAATTAAGACAAATTAATTTTTTGCATGATTGCAGTCATCTAAAAAATTAGCGGTTAATTTATTAAATACCGAAATGAACAAAAAAAGCCTATTTTTTTTTTAACTTCTATTAAAAACTGTTGAGCTAATTTCGGCAGATTTTTTGACCAACCCCAAATTAGAAAAATGTTATGTCATTATTAATTGTTATTTATTTGTCCAAATGCTACATTAATTTGTTTACTTTAATTTTTAAAATTTTTAGAGATGATGCAAAACGGCATCACCACTAACAAGAATTCTGCTAAATCTTCATGTCACTCCTCATTTTAATGAAATGCAACGGTTAGCGATTAATTCGGAAAAATAAAGAACACAATATCAATAATTGGAAGATTTAGAGTGCTTAATTCTGTCAATTTGGGAGGGCGAATCTTTTGGTTTGAACCTAGTCCTATATTTTTCAAATGATATACATAGTATAGTTAAAATGAATTGTAAAGAAGTTGTTTGCAGCCTTCCCACATTATTTAAAATTAAACGCGAGCGAACGATTGCGTTTGAAAAGCGTGCATGATCCATTTTAGTGCAACGCGACGCAACACAAAGAATTAATTTTGACGCCTAAACGCGCCTCTCCCCCGATTCAGCACAAACAATTTTGGCATCACAAATTGCTTTTCGCTGTTCCCAAAATATACACGCCACTCTCCCTTTCTCGCCTCTCTCACTCATATTAATACAACAATAATAATTTCCCTCCAGAGGAGATCAAAACTCGATTAAAACAGTTGACAGCGAGCGAGCGAGAGAGTTTCCATATCTGCGCGTTTAAGGGTTGCAGCTTTTTAGCGCGGCGGCGGCGGCGAGGGACGCTAATTGATTACTTCTAGCTACGGCTTTCTCTCTCTCTCTCTGGAGAGAATTAGCATGACAATGAAACGAGGTTTGCCTCTCTTGACTCGTCGCCGCCGAAATCAACCCTCGTCATGCGCTCAAGCTAAACGCCGCTCGCTCACGCCATTAATATTTTAATACAACATCATCAGCCGGCTAACAATGTGAGCGGCGGTTAATCTCTGCGAAAGCGCTTAATGATTATTGTTACTGCTCAACAGCCTATGTAACTTTCGAGAGTGCCAAGTGAAACGGATAAAACGCATCGCGTCCAAAAACGTGCCTTTCTCCCCAAACCGAATTGCCTTTCTTCGTACTTATTGCTAGCAAAAAAAAAAATAAATAAATAAAAAAAGCTTCATGGGAACTCTTTCAATTATCTTACAAAACAGTTGAATTTTGCAATTAACTTATTATTTTCTTATAATTCAACGATGAATTTAAATATATTTTTGTATTCAATATTTTTACTTTCGATTTTTTTTAGCTTGGAATTTCTTTTTTGATATGATTTCAATAATTTGCATCAAAAAATTTAGAATAAAAATAAATGAAAAAACTTTTACCAGTAATTTTTTTAATTTAATTTGAATTTTATATTTCAAAATTATTAGACCTAAGTATTTTATATGTTTATTTTATTTATATGGCTAAAATTGTAAAATTTGTTGACAGCTAATTTTTTTCGTGCAGAAATTTAAACTCAAAAAGTTTTGCATCCGAAGAAATTTCATTTTTGATTTTAAATTGTCATTATCTCAAGAGGGTTTTAAAATTAAAAGACCAAATTACTTCCGCGCAGTATAGGTCTGCTGAGGAATGCATGTAATTTCGACAGGGAGGAAACAAGGAGATGACACGATCAATTTGACGATTCTGCTGGCAGCCGGAATCAGTGTGCGGTACGTATAATTACATTCGTCCTTTCGCTCCTTCAAAAGTGCCGACGGAGACTTTATGGAGTGCGTGGTCACGCCTCAGCGCCACTTCCTCTCGCCGCATCTTCACGAGTTGACGCCTCTTCCCCGCGACACCAGCCAGGGCCACACATGAGCCCCAAATGTAAATTAATTATTCTCGCGGACACATAGTTAATTTCGCCTCCTGCGTCGCACTAAATTCTCGGCCGCGACTTTATTGCTGCCAGCCGACGCGCACCACCAATTTGCTCCTCGTTTTCAATTTGTTCCAGATATATTTCTAAACGCGTGGAAAAGAGCTGCGAATCTTTTTGAAACGGATTTTTTTTCAAACTCAAGTATCTACCAATTATATATTATTTGTCAAATTAATATTTAGGTTTAAATTCAGTTGTAAAAATGTCATAGTATTTAATGATTTCAAATATTTTTATGTTCATACACCTGCTAAATCTAAATCAATATTAATTCACAGTTTTGATTATGTAAAAAAAAATTAATGCTTTCCTAATAAAAGCATGTTTTTATCAATATTTTCAAAACATTTAATAGTAAATAATTAATAACGGTTATTCCAATGCGCAATATTAATTAATTTTTGTATTTTTAATGAATAGTCAAAAAGAAAATCGACACATTGCCACTGATAGCATCAAAGTTGAAAGATATGAATAATTTTTTGCTCAGTATAGATTAATTCTATTTTAAATAAAGCCTCTATTTTACTTTTTTATACTTATCCCTCAATATTCCCTGGGTCCAACGCATTTCCTTAAACAGCAGAATATAACTAGGAGTGCAAATAAGACGGAGCTGATTATCATAATCAGAAAAATGATTGCGCCCTCGTAAATGAACATCAGTGTGTTGTCTTTAACTGTGGGAGGCTCCTCTGTGACACCGTCAGATACTGGATAGTCAGCTAAATCAACATTGTTGTTGCTGCTGAGGTTTGTCCAGGGTGTTGAATTTGCGACACCATTAAGAGGTGTAAACAAATGGGAATCAAAGAACAGATCTTGACACCAAGAATATTTGCTGGACCAAATTTTAGAGCAATCTGTTGGTACGTTTCTTGTCATGCAATAAGGAAGGCCGCCTGATTAAAAAATGAACACTGAAATTATTTACTATCAACTTATGCTTCGACTAAAACTCACTATTGGGGTCGAATAGGTCAAGGAAGCCAAGGTAACTGCATCTGATGCTGATGTTCTTCTGAAGGGTCGGGCAATAGCACGGCAATGTAGAGCCCCTGTATGTACAACGGTGGCACTTGGTCAGGTCAGTTGGACACACATCTGGACGCAAACCTGCACCTAAATAATTTGCAACTAAATTTTCAATCTAAAAACTTTCTATATTTAAAAAGTTTTTAAATTACCATTTGGACTGATCGGTTCTCCATTGATTGTGATTCCTAAAATAGAAGCGCAGGTATCCTTCCTGATATTTGACAAGCATTTACCTCCAAGGTTGCATCTTTTTGAACACTCGTCTCTTTTTTTCCGGGGGCAAATTAGCGCACCATCTTATTAATGATCACATATAATATTTTAATATCAAGAAAAGAAATTTTTAAACAAATGAAAATTTCTCACTAGTGCTGTCGTACAGATTCAAAAAGCCAGTGCGTGTGTTGCGTTCTAATATTGCGTCCTCTCCGGTCGATTTGCAGAAGCACTTATAAAATTTACTGGGTTGCGAATAATAGCAATTATCCTCAACCAAAGGACAGAGGGGCAATTTCGTCCCTGCAAAGACAAGACATAGTTGTTGCTTAATTTTTAAGAATTTTTAGCTCACGATTATAATCGGATGCCGACAAATAAAGTGTCTCCAAAATTAATAACAGCGTGAACAAATTTTTCGTTGCGGCGATCATTTTTCGTTCTACATACATGGGTTTTACATTTTACTTATAACACCCAATCATTATCACGTTAAGCTGCACGCGGAACTTCCGGGCGTGTTTTTCCTTTCTGATTATATTTGTTATTATTCTTTTGCTATCTTTTCAATACCGATTAAATCTTATTTCTTGAAGTCTCTATGTCCTTGTGAGTAATGTATTAGTACAGCAATACTATAGTACAGCACTACTAGTCCATCAGCACAATTAGCAATTTAATTCATGCCATATTAATAATTTTGAAGAATAATAATATATTTTTGTTAATCGTTTTAACGAAGAGGCCAAAATGATTAATAGCATATTTTTTTTTACTAATGCAATAGGTTTGTCATGGATTGTATGTATAAGAAAGCAATATTTGCTCTCTGACAATATATTTGTGAAACGAATTTTCGAATTTAATATTTTTTGATCATCAGAGCTTTTGCGCGAAGCTTGCCAGTTTTTATTTGTAATGTGTTGAGACCACTCAAGTGATTTTACACAATTATGACCAAAAATAAGGGAAAAATCAAAGCTCATATCGACGATGTCCAAGCGTGTTCGTCGGGGGAGGACAGCTGCCTGCTCTGTAGTGATCCGCGCGTTGTTTTCACATTTGATTTGCAACAATGGCTCATTGTTAAAGACGTCAACGGAGAGTGAGTGACAGTGGAGCCCCTCGAGCGAATTCACCCCTCTCGACACATCAATTTCAGGCCTGTGCACGGAACGTCATGTTTTTTAACACGTCCCAAAGCGGCATAACACAACAATGCTGGAAAATATGGCTCTCTCGCGCGCTTTGCTTTTTGTGCGCGAGTAAAGAGCATGACTAAAAAGGCAACCGATGTACCACGCTCGCTGATTTCGTAAAATTTCAGGAGCACTTTCGGCGATATGCATTTCAAGAGAGATGGGAAATGACTTGGAGAAGCTCTTGATGATACCTTTTATTTGCTAAAATTTATTTTGATTCATTGTTGAATCATCTTCAACATCGATTGTTAAATTAAATGTTACGTGGATGGACCCAAAATGTTATTTACGTTTCAAAGGAGTTTTAGTTAAAGCGCAATTTTCAATATTAAGTGCGTATGAACTCCAATTGTTGGGCTCATTATAAAAGTAATTAAATTTCCAGAAGTATTAGAGAGTCTTAAAATACGAATATTTCATCTCACTTAAACATCTACAATTTTAAACAGAAAACCATATATTATTTGAATTTTAATTTATTAACATATCTTATGTAAAATAAAATTATTTTTAAATTTATTTGTTAAATTAAATCTAGCTTATACATTGATCTTCAAGTTGTACTTATAAAATTGATTTATAAGTTTTAGATTAAAAAAAATAAAATGTCAAATTGTGGAAAATTATAGAAAAATAAAAAAAAAATTTAAATTTTTAATTACATACCTTCACATACCCCCAGTGACACTAAACTTGACAGCGCAAAATCCGGCGGTCATGATCGCTCGAATTTATAACCACTTGCCTGCCGAGTTAAAACAAATTGAAGATCAAAAGACATTCACCCTGAAACTGAAACAAGTGCTAAGTGAACACCACTTCTATGACATACACGAATACTTACTGTGCAGTTTTGACAAGTGAAATTTCTCGCGCTAATCTTAGTTTTTTCCCTTTGCCCTAAGCAACGGGTTTTTTTCTCTAAATTTTAATTTTAGACCTGACATGTTCTAAAGACTACTATTAATATTCTTGTCTAACAGAACAATAAAATTTAATTGAATTGAACATTTAAATCTGATTTAAATATTTATTGCGATTTTGGCAGTTACAATTTCATGGTAGAAGTAGAAGAAAATGATTTAGCATTTTATTATAGCTTTTGTTATCACTAAATTTTCCTCTCCATTATGTAAATTGATAATTTTCTTTGAATGTATGTATGATGTACCTGGGCAGTAATTGCCTTCTGATACAATCAATAAAGACACTTTGCAACTAAAATTTAATAATTTAATTAATTTTTTCATACAAACACGTTTTTCCGATCAAGGCCATTTCACGTTGAAAAGTTTTGGGGGTTATTTAGCTCTCGGAGGGTCGTCGCTTATACAGGGGGTATTTAGCGGCGCTTCTTTTCCTCAAAGTGGCGGCTGCACATATGTAAATGTCACACACGCGACCACGCGGAAAATGAAGACGCGACGAGCACGCCCAATTCCCTTTTTCACGGTCGGCCATCTTTGAAGTGAGGGCCAAAACTGCGCGACGTTTTATTTTTGATGTGCGAGGCTCGGCGGCGAGAGCGAGAGCAAAAACGCAGAGAAGAAGTAAAAGTACACGCGGCGGCGAGTAGTAAAAGTGGTGTCATCTCTCACGCCTGCACGCGGCATTTGAGCTAATGACTTGGAGCACGATGACAGAAACAGCTGTCGACGATGATTCGGCCTAATTAACAATTATGTGCCATTCCATGCGGTCCGGCCATTACTCAATCTCGCTCTCAAGACTCAAAGTCTCAAACTCTAGCCTTTTGCCGGCGAGGACAAATTGATTGTCCGCCGACATGTGTCTTGCGATGTAAAACTTCAAAGGGATCGGCAGAGGTGCAAAAAGACGAGACTTTTTGCAAACCAACTTTGTAATATCGTTTAGAGAGTCCAGGCGGAACATTCAGCAATAAATCCTTAAAAGTGAACACAGAAAATAAATTTCTCGCACAATTTTATCAGAGATAAAAAAGAAAGGCGTGCGCGAGTCTAGCTGAAATTAAAAATAAAAAAACTAAAAATGCGACTGAAAGACTTGGAAGTTCTGTCACAGAGAATTATATAGTTGCTCGTTCTTGACCCGGTGTGCAGCGGAATGGCAGAATAAATGGTGTCAGTGCAGGTCACGCGAATTGCTCACGCCTCATTGTGCGCCAAACTCACCAGTCTTGTTACACTGCCAAATCGCGACCGCGCATCTAAATGCTCCAAATTGCTCTTTCAAATTCTCTAATGATTTCAGCAGATTTGAACCAAGGTTACAGCAGCTCATATAGTTATTTAGTTTGTTAAAGCAGAAAAATTTAAAAATGAAACTGAAAATGCATTTATTATAATCAAACCATGAGCATTAATAAAAATTATAATTGAACTTTATTTTTATTTTGTATATTATAAAAAATAAACAATAAATTATTAAATAAATACTGGGGACCATGTATCATAATAATTAATTTATTTATTTAAATTTTTTTATTCAACACAATAAAATATGACATTGGAAAAATTGAAAAAAGTCTCCTTATAATTTATTTCAAAAAAATACTTGGCCATACTTTCTAAAAATTTTAAATTTTCAGATTGAATACAATTCTTACATCAAATAATGATTAAAAGCATAATTGTATAAAAAGTACCAAACCTCGCGCAATTAAATTACTTTTTAGCATTGGCCTCCTTATTAAACAATATTTTGTACAAACAAAACGGTAAAATTTATACCTAGCCAAGAAAAATAATAGTATCAATAAGTAAATTTAATTTGAAGTAATTTATCATATAATAATTTAAAATCTTTCTCTTAAAATGTTAAGTTATATTAAATGGAATTTAGTACTCCCTGAAGTGAATCATATGGATCTAATGGTGAAGTTATGGTTTGAAAGCCAATGGTGCAATTAGTTGGTATTGTTTTCGTGTCAAGTCTCACGCAAATATCAACCGCAGTCCCCAGCGAACGCGAGAGGCATTTGGAACATTTCAAACGGCCCCCGGGATTTGCGCCTCTTGCGCGCATTTCGCGCTTTCACTCACTCTCGATCACGTCCCTGAAAGTCAGATTTGGTATATAAGGGGTGAACATTTCATACCGCTTCGACACGCTTTGTCAAAGCCAATTAATTCTGGCATTAGCGTCAAATGAGAGGAATAAACGCATTCTGTAGGATTGAAAGCGAAATCACATAAACAATGAATTAAATATTAAGAATAATGCGTAGAATGATGAATTAAGTGATTTATAATTTTAACTTGAAATCTTATCGAACCGGTACTTCAATTAAAAATTAAAATTTTATCTAAAACAATCAAATAAATAATGAATTATTTAATTATTCACTAAAAATTAATCTCGTGAATAAGTTCATAAATTACAAATCTTTCTTCACTGCATATGTGACAAGTGGAGAGAGGAAGTTTTTGAATATCCGAAAATAAACAACCCTTTTCACGCCAAGGAGGCGTTTTCCGAGTAAAAAGAGGCATCTTCTCGCGTTTATAATAGGGCTCGTTAGCGATCTTGTTATACTGTGTGAAAGACGCACCAGTCCGCCGCACAGCTCGCGCCCGCGGTATTCGCGTCACGCTCCATTTAGCGTGAGTTAATTAAAAATTAAACTACGCTCTCATTATGTCGTCAGACATTTAAATTTAACCCTCGTCTAATAGATAATGCCGCGAGCAGAGCGAACATTCCTCAGACAGAGGAGCTTTTTTAAACACAAGAGAGAACAACAAAGGAAAAGAAAAAAATCCCCTTGGAAACAAAAGGCGGTTATAATTCTTGACTAATTGGCCGTTTAATGAAATCACGTGCTAATTTACAGGAAGATATGTCTCTTTTGTGAGACCAAATTTGATTCTGTTTCTGTTAGAAATTTATTCGGAAGCTTCGATATTAGTTTGATTGCCACTTACTTAATTGAGGTTTAACATTTAATTACTTTAAATTCAATATTAAAATTTTTCCACCAAAATTCTTATTTTTGTTATTAGAAAGAAATTATATTTGGAAGGATTGAATGTTCAAAAGATTTTGTAGATAATATAATACCAGCCACCTTAGAAAAAATTTATCATAAAAAATTTAAAATATGTATGTTAATATACTGTAGAAATTTATTGGGTTTTTTATTCTATCAAATTTCTATACAGTCGGAAATAAATGCGCAGCTTGAAAGTTGAGCTACACTTCCTGACTATGCAACCGGAACGATTTCTCTGTCGAGCGGCGCTGCATAACTTGCAAAATAGCAGGCGCGTGTTGGAATGTTCATTTTTCCAGTAAATCGCAACAGTTTTCTTATCAGAAACTCCAAGGCTAAGGAAAATTTATATCTTTTAAGCATTTTCTCACTAATGACGCAGAAAAGTTAATTAACCAAACGAGCCGTTCTCCTCTCTGCACAAATGCAAACTCTCTCTCAGCCAAGGAGGCCCTGCTGATTATCATAATAACGAAGGGCACTTTGCGGAAAGCAGCTCGGCGACCACCCATTAGCGGCCCTAATGAATTGATTTCCGCGGTGGCCGCTCATTTCCCGCTCGTTTCCGCCGCAGCAATCCGCTACTAAGTGCCGGCAAATTGGTGCCGCCAATGGCCGGCCCGCGGGGCGGAGCCGCCGAGTGCGCGGCGCCGCCCCAATCGGCCTCCGGGACGCCGCCGCCGCTCGCCGTCCTCCAGTTCTTGGCCGCCTGAGCCATCAGCATGAGTGCCACTGATGAACCCCAGGATTAATGCACTGCTCACTTGTGATTCTAAGCAAAAAGGTATGTTTTTTAAATTACTTACAATGAACAAAATTTTGTATTATTATGATTTTTCTTTTTTCTTTTGTTTCTCTGTACAAAGAACATATTAAAAATGAATGCAAATATTTAAAAGGATTTAAAATAAATAAAATAATAATTTATTACTGATTCAATTAAAGCTCTGGACTCAATTAAGTCATTTTTTTCTATTTTATTTAAAAAAAAAATGCTCCATGTCATAAAATCAAATAAAGTCTTTAATTTTAAAGTGATGTGGTTTTTTAATACCAATTTATATTTATCAAATTTTCTTTATTATTTCCGAGGACTAAGAACGTAAATAAAATAAGAGAAATTCCATTTTCTTAAAATCCTGAAAAAGATCAAAAGAAATCTTTTGCCTTTGTTGAATGAGTAAAGATTTATAATGAAATTGGTCCATCAACTTGTTATTGTTTATTCAGAATAAAAGTCATGGAGACGTACAAAGAGCTGCCGCCGCTGCCCTTCTCCATAGAGGCCATAATCGCCGGGGGCCGTCCTGCCCACCGGCCGCCCCCGCCTCTCCCGGACGTGTCTGCGCCTCCGAACTTGGCCCCACCGCCCTGGGGTCTTCTGTACAGCCCCTGGCTGATGCTGCACCTGCAGCACCAGGGCCTCTACCATCCCCAAGTGCCGCCCCACGGACTCTTGCCCCTGCACCCGCCGCCCCCGCACCCATCACTCAGCCCCCACAGACTCAGTTCCTCCGAGGACGAGGAAGAAATTTCGCCTAGGTCGACGCCGCAACCTCGAGAGGACGACGCCTCGCTCACAGGTTAGTCCCGATTTTGGTAGCAAAAGGTCTTTCTAGAAAATATTGTGATAATTCAGTATTCAAAAACAATATAAATTTTTTAAATTTTTTTACTTTAGAAATTTTTTTCTTAAATTATGCCTAACAATAAGTATAAAATAATCGTTTATGTTAATATTTTTTTTATTATTTTTTTTATAACTTTGTTATAACTGTTTATTATTATTTCAAATAATTTAAAAAATATATTAAAGCTAATAAAAATTTACATTTAATATCTTAAACGTCAAATTTGAAATTTATTTTAGTAAATAAATTATGTAAACAAAATCATGCACTGAATTTAATATTGAACAAAACTCTTCACGAAAGAATGTTTTCCTCATGCCTTTAATTTTATTATGTAATAAAATTGTATTTAAATTTCAATAGTTGCAGAAACATTAAACATTATGTTACACTTTATTGTTACATGAATTTATTATTTATTACCATCATGAAAAACTGCATTCATATTGTGATTTCAATTTAATAGGCGACCGTCCATGTTTAGTGGAAAGATTAAAATTTTCACATAAATACAATTTTAATCAACTGAAATAATTATGGTGATTAAATTAAGTCTGTATGATTCTAGACATTAACTCAATGTTAAAATATATTTAAAATTTATATAATTCATTTTGCAACACCATTTCCAAATCACTTGATTTGCGTTAGAAGTTTTTTATCCCTCAATTTGAGCTTTTTTCTCTTGTGAGAGTGTTTTTTCCCCCATTCACATTAAAACAGCTAGGGACAATTTTTCACCGAGGGTCTTACGTCTTTGCCCGCTTCTCTCGTTTTCTCCCCGCTCAGGCCAAAGAAAATAGCAGGTGTCATACAAATCATTTCTGCCCCATTGCCCGAAATAGAGATGCCGCGTGCTGCCGTCCGCTTTGAACATTATCATTGGCAACGCGCGCCGACGACGATTTCCTCTCATTTCTCACCACATTTACTAAAATATACAACTGGCAAAACTAATAAGTTGTAACTGCTGAGCGGAGATTTTGAAGCTAGTCGAGCAGAACGCGCCGAGCCTCACTCGGAATAACAAAATGTTTAAAACACAAAAATATCAGAGCAGAGCAACACAGCAACTTTCAAAATGATGGATTGCTTGCACACAATTTCCACTTTGCTTTCCGTCTCTACCTCTGTCGACGCAAACATTTACAAACGACGTAAACATTTAAAAAGGCTTAAATTTTGATATAATCTTTTTTTCTTTCAAGTAATCTTAATTTTGTTTTAAAACTGGAATTTACCAATTTAGTAATTTTTTTTTTTTTTTTTTTTTGTAAAAAGCTTATTTTTAATTCTTATATCTGTGTATTTAGCATGAAACATACGTTATAATTCTTTTTAATAAGTTTTTAATCGTTTTCAATTTCTTTTTAATCATTATGAAATGATAATTTTTTCATTACTATAAAATTTTATGAATGTATCATTGTATGTTCCATATTTTATTTCATAAAAAATGTGAGCGAAATTTGAAATTATGTTTATGATTAAAAAAAAAACTTGAAAAGCATGTAATATTAAGTGTCAAAAGGGGAAGAACGTTTAATGATCTCATCTGCGTGTTGATGTATTACTTTAAAAAAAGCCCAAACATGATTTCATTTTTGTCAATGTGCCAAGACGAACGTACGTTGACGGAATCCACAATCACGATTTGCACATAATAACTCCATAAAGGGCGGGCGATTACCGCAAAAGCTCTGGAACAAACAAACGCAAATATTCGAGCCGCGGCGACGCCATCAATCCGCGTCTGGTCGCGGCCGCGGCGGCGCATTTGATCCGATCAACATATTCCGCGATCGTTGCAAAATTAGTAGGCAAATGTGCATTTCACCTTGCATAGTTATAAAGTGCTGCTGGCCGAGAGTGGCGTCGTGAGGCGAATCGCAATCAGCCGCCATTACCATTTCGCACTTCGATTCGCGCCGAGTGAGTGAGTTAGCGAACGTGTGCTAATCATATCAATGTGCACCCACACACACAACCAGACGCGACAATTAAAACAACAGAATTACAACCTGCTGATGAAATTGTTAGACAGGTCGCTTTTAAGCCCAGGGACTTCATTCTTTGCCAGCAAAGTTGCTCAATTCCATTATTAATGAAGGCAGGTTAACAGTTCATAAAATAACTTTAATAAATAAAGTGATTTAAACAATAAAAGGAAACCATGTTAATTACTTTTAATTTTGCAGTTTTGTAATATATATCCCTTTATTAAATTGTTAGATTTTTTTAACACAGCAAACAAAATTTTGATCAATTTGATTTAAATGAAAATAATATTTTAATTTAACTAATAGTAAATCAAAACCAATAATAATTTTTCATTGCTATTTTTAATAAAAATTTACAATTTAATTTACATAACATTATTTACTAATAAATATCTGTACAAGCTAATTTTTTAAAATCAAGGTTTATCATAATTTTACATATTGCCTCATGCTTGCCCCCTGTTGTTCATGATTTGTCCTAAAACCACCAGTGTAATTTTTCCAAACTTCAGAACACAATAATGTTTTCATTTTTTAAATGTCTGCTAAAATTTATGGTCACTAAAATATAAATAGTTTAGCAAATAAAACAAAGATTAACTTTCAAGATAGTATGCTGGGTCGTCAATAATTTTTTTCATTTTAATCTATTTCATGAAATTATTATAATGGAAATTAGATTGTAGCGTGCACAATATTTCATATGAAGGAGAAATTGGACGCAAATTTATTAATCTATTAATTATTTTCTTAAATCCAATCATAGAAGAAACTTAATCACATAATTAATGAGCAATTGTTTGGAGGTTATTTGAAGAAATTTACGCTTTTCCAGTGTGCATTGAACAGTGATTTGAACGGTGGATGTACTTTTTAAGAACGTTCTTGCCGCGGTGAGATATTCAAATTATAATTTACATGTTTGTCCCCCGACTCCATTGTCATATACATATATCTCGACGTTCAATTGCGAAAATTCCTCGGCGCTACTCCGCTTTTTCCATAGAGCCAGAGGCCGCGCCTGCTTGCGATACACCATCTCGCATTTCTTACTTTTCAGTTCCCGCAGCGGCACCTTTCAGGTGAATTTAATTTGCTCAAAAATTCCGCCCATGCAGTGTGCGCAATCGGCGCGCCCGCTGATCACAACAACGAATTAGAATAAATAAGAGATCACTTTGCGCGGTGAACTCATCAGTGGCGGCGCGCCGCTTTCAATAAGCCGATTATGCCGACGGTAACTATGTTATTAAAGAAAGCAGCCTGTTCAACAGGGTGTTCCCTGAAACAAACGCACATGCCTGATTTTCTCAAATGTACTTCCTTGAAAATGAAATGATTTTTTTAAATTTACAATTGTTAAATATCTTTATGCAAGAATTATCCATTAAAATATTTTCTTATTTAAAGAAATTTCTCTTATTTTTAGTTTAAAATTTTATGGAATTCAATTGGTAAATTTTAACAAACTGACTGTACCTTTTTAACTATAAATGTTAAATATAAAACAACCTCAAGTTATTCTTAAATTCTCTTCTTTCCCAAATGAAAATATATTATGGCTGAAATTTACTCACAATTAATCGTAATTATTTATTTATTATCTTTCATCACAATTATCCAAATAAATCTGCTAATAACATTTAAATTTAACCGCTAAAAATCTCAATTATAATGGAAATTTTGGAACCGTCATCTCTTGTTGTTTGTAAAATTTAGCTTTGGAACACTCTGGAGTATTAAAAATCATTATAAGCGCAGTTCAATAATCGCGTACGCACCCACGACAAAGTTTGCCCGAAAGGTGCATGGGCGCGGCGCGCAAGACAAATAAATTACTTCTGTATGACAGTGTCAAACACCGCTCGCTGGCTGTCAATTCGATATCCCAATCGGCTCTCGTCGGCTCCCGTAATACGCCCAAAAGCGATTATTACGCACGCACCCATTCACGTCGGTATATATATATCGCGCATATCAGACACCGCATTTATTTGTCATTGTTTCGATCGGTTCAAATCGTAATTGTGTTTTTTGTGATTGCTCACTCGAACATGTGCAGCCGATCATCGACGAGAGATGCAAATGGAAAACCGCAGATAACATTCATTTGCGCGTGTTTCAAATGCAAATCGGCTCCGCCGCCCAAACAATATAATTTTCGACGCCATGATATAAATATATAGGAATTCAGTGGACGTGCAGCTCATTGCCAGTCGAAAATCATCGGCGTTGCTGAGTTTCCATTCCACTCCGCCACAGCGATTATGAACAATTGTGGTGTGCATTGGCATAATTATATGCATGCAAATTCTTGATTGGCCACAATGACAATCGAACAATGCTGCAGCAATTTTGATTTAAATTTTACACGTGTTGCCTAAATTATACCCAAAGTTCTTTTGGAAAAGCTTAACTGGCCAGTGACAAATTTTTTATTTTAGAAAAAGGGTCCTTTTCAAGCAAGAAGGTTGACATGAAAAAGTCATTTTTAGTGAGTTTTTTTTCTGTCTATTGCTGGGTCAAAGGAAGCTCGGGATAATTCAAATTTTATTTTATTATTATAAAATCTAGGATGGTAATGATTTTAAAGAAAAGAAAATTTAAAAAAAAAACATCACCTTGTTAATCAAGTGGTTATCGCAAATATAAACATGCACTCTGTGTAAAGCGTCGGCATCAACCACTTTTCGTGTCAAGTGGGGTGGTCTGTCTAGTCTGATTGCTAACAAGATCTCATCCCCCGGCAGTCGAGCACTTCAGAAGGGGTAGCGTGTGCTTTTTAAGTGTGGCTTGCACGCATGTGTGTGTGCGTGAATTGGGGAAATATGTATTTGCTTGACAAACGCGAAATAGTGCGTCTGGTTCAGAGAGCGGAAAACTTCAAAGAGTCACATTTTGGACATTGAAGTGACGTGACTTCTGAAATTTTAGAGCCACTAATTAACGAGCACTATCTCCATAATATTTAAATTAAAAATACATTTAAGTAATTTTATTTTAATTTGTATAAATACTTCAAAAGGCATAATAAGATCTTTTGATATTATTAATCTTAATTAATTGACTTTTGAGGCTTCACCGTGATACAGTAACTCATTGTGATAGGCCAGAGTTAATTTTCCTTACGACTGTGTCAAATTATCCCTCTATACAAAGCTATTAACGTGGTCTAATCTGTTGGAAAAACTTGGCAATTAACGTATTTCGGTCAGTCCCGCGGGTCTCGTTTCCTGAAATTGTGATTTTTACAGGGGGTGGCTTTCGCTTCTCCCAAGGGTGGTTTTGGCGGCGGCTTCAAGGAGCAGATGTGGCCGCGCGCAGACCTCTCTCTTGTAATTATCCTCTCGCGTTTTCGTTCGGTTTGTTTTCAGAGAGGCGCATCTGCACCGCCTGAAATTCCAAGTGTTATTCTTTGAGCGCGTGTTTTTTTGCCCAAAGCCGCCACAAAAACAGAACCAATTAAAATTGTAGAAGAGTAGCGACTGCCGGCGCGAAATAGATTTATGGGAACTCGGCGGCTGATTTGCGTTTTGCGATGATGAGGCTTCGCATAATTGCTACTCACGCGATGTGACGAGCATGTGTGCAAGTCCAAAAGTTTCCTAATGAATTATGAATGAAATTCGATCTCTCTCGGCTCAATTAAAATAACATGAAAGTTTAGCACTTTGAGAAGGAAGCCCCCTTTTTTCAATTTGCTGCTTACTAATTAATAATTCAAATTGAGAATTTATAGTACATAATAATCTTCATAAACATTTTCCTTTCTTTAATAGAAAATAAATTTATTGATAAAATGTCTAAAGTCCAGCTGGTGCAAGCAGTTTTCAACATATTTTATGCACAATAATATTATTGTGATTAATTTTCTTTTTCATTTCATTTGTATTTAATAGTTTGACATTTCTTGCGCAGCGACTTGATCGCTAACAGAAATATTATGTGGTAAGAGGATATACAACAATTATACACCAGATTTTCACTTCCAAAATTTCACAATTTATACAATTAGATAATTTCTGTTGAAATTTTCCCTTTCGGTAAAATCTAAAAACAAGCTACCTCAAGTACAACCATCAAAATTAAATTTCAAGTTGAAAATGTTTTTTTTTCATCCTTTTTTAAATAAATGTCTGTATGTGGTTGAAATTATTCATTTAGAAATGATGAAACATGGCAGATGACATCCGGTGCTATGTCAATAGGAACGTAACTTCCGCAAGGCTTAAAAAATTGAATGCTTATCAGCATAATATAATTAATAAAAATTTAAAAAATTTCTAACAATTAGCGATGAAGTTGTGCACTTGCGTTATTGCTTATATAAATGCAATGCAACCAATTATTCGAAGTAAATTAATTTTAATTAAAATTTCATCATAATTTGTGGAAGATAAGTTAGAACTATTTAATTTTCATTTTGTTTTAAGACTATTATATGACACATGGTATAATTAAAAATTAAGCGGAATTTCTTTTCAATTTAAGTTTTAAGTTTTTATAATGTCTTCAAACTTTTAAAGGCCTGCTTATTGACATCTACAACTCCTGTTTGCGGCAAATCGGCCCGAAATTTTTGGACCCAGATTTTTTTATAGATTCCTACCTATCAGTAGAGTTGATTGCACAAAGAAAAATGGGGGGTAGCGCCGATTATTCTTGAAATATGATTTTTTGAATTTTTACATTGCGTCTTATGGAAATTTTCGTTTTTGGTGATTAAAAAAAAACTGCCCGAAATTTTTTGCTCAAAATTTCACAAAATGATAAGCGAATGACCCTAAACAGATTAGCAGAAAAAAATTTGAGGGTTCATGGGGCAAAAAAATAACATTGGGCATATGTGCGATCAAAAAAAACCTCCTTGGTACTCTTAGCATTGCAATAAGGAGTCCTTAAAACAAAAGTTGTTTAATTCACTTGATTTAAAACAAAACTATAATAAAATGTAAAATATTTCAAAAGCTAAAGAAATAAAATTTGGTGTTAATCTTTTAATAAATTTATTTTACGTTAATCTTAAATTTCTGCTATTTTGTGATTTCAGGTGGAAACTGCACTGAGCCAGCGAGTCCAGGTTCGATTTGTGGTGAAAGTGAGACTTCGGTGACTGGCGACGGTTCTTCTCCCGCCGACGGATCTTCTGTGGGAAAATCCAACGGGAAAATTCGGCGGCGCCGGACAGCCTTCACGAGCGAGCAACTGCTGGAGTTGGAAAAGGAGTTCCACGCCAAGAAGTACCTGAGCCTGACCGAAAGGTCGCAGATCGCGAGGTCGCTGCGGCTGAGCGAGGTGCAGGTCAAAATTTGGTTCCAAAACCGGCGGGCCAAGTGGAAACGGGTCAAGGCCGGCCTGGGATCGGGAACGCGCGGGTCTCAAGGGCCGCAGGGCGTGGGTCCTCAGGGTGGCAGCAAGATCGTGGTGCCCATCCCGGTGCACGTCAACCGCTTCGCCGTGCGCACCCAGCACCAGCAGCTCGAGAAGGCGGCCGCCGCGGCCGCGGCCACCGGCAGTGGCGCGGCCCTCAAGTTGGCCGGTCTGCCCACCCTGACGCCCACAGGACTTCTGCACCACTCGGCCGGCAGTGTCATGCGCTCCCTTGGTAACGCAACCTCCACGCCAAGTGTCACTTCGAGCAGTTAGAAATTCCCTAAAACTTCGAGGACGTTTAAAAACTTGAGTTTTTAAGAAGAAAATGGGATATTTAGGGAAAAGGACAGACGATTTGTCAATAAGACTTGTTTTATTTGTGTAAACCGCAGTGTTAAATCAGGCAAAACTTAAATTTTTATGTTCGCAGAAAAACTCTTAAATAAACAATACGGAATTTAAAATTTTTATACTAAAAGTAAGAAATCTGTTCTCCAGTGTACCAGTATTCCAAAATTAATGCAAGAGAGCAACAACAACAAATTTGACAGAACATTGAGATGAAGGATGAATAAAGCTTTTTTTAAGATGAGAAACAATTCCTTTGGAAAAAAGTTCATTCAATTTTTTTTTTTTTGTGCAATCAGCGCTCTGTGATTATCATTAACCAAGCTAATTTACCAAGAAATTCAATACTGCAGGTTTAAAATTTATAATTTTTTGAAAATGATCTGCTGATAGAAGTTAGGTAATTTTTTTTTCAAATTAATTAAGTTTAACTTGAAAATTTTGGAGGTAAAAAGACTCATTTCTTCAAGGGAAGTTAGTTGGTCCATTGATTGAAATTAAATGCTTTTTTTATTTTGAAAAATATGATTTGGGAAAAAAATTCGTGTTTCATCCTGCAAATTGATTCACAGAGCATCAGAAATTCTTGCATGCGTCGCTACAAAATTTTGCTCTCAAAATATTTTAACCAAATTTATTTAACTTAAGCAATTTCTGGAAATTTTAAAGAGGGATTCACAAACTTTTATTGTATGAACGATTTCTAAATGTGCCAAAATTAAAATCGAATTTTAAACGTCGAAATTATTATATTTATGTGACAAGTGCAAAAAACGCTGATTAAAACGCCATGGGAACTCGCGGACGATTACTTTGTGGCCGGCGCGAGTGTCTGGCAAATAAACTGCATTATTCAGTGTGCGTGTTTGTAAATAGTGTAATTTGCCGAAGACAGCCTTCACAATGATGCAAACCAATAAATTACGCGCGTCTAGCTCCCCCCGTCCACACACAGAGTCAATGGAAGCGCGAATAATTTGTCATAAATGCACAGAGCGCGAGCAGAAGCGAAGCGGCGGTTTGTAGGAAGCAAGAAATCTCTCTGCGCCATTATCGGTGCAGCGAGTCATTATTGTTATTATTAATGCTCCAGCTGTGGTTCTCTCTTTAAAATAAATCACCCGCGGGACCTTTCACATTAGCATTAATTCACCGATACATGACTCGGCATAATTCACCAAGACCGAAACGATGCACCTTTGAATAATGATCAAAATGTGTGATGTTTTCCTAGCCCTCGACTTAATAAGGCAGCGCCTCTCAGTCAGTGATGCTGACGATATGATTGCCCTTATCTGTAATTGAATTGCCAGCTCACAAAATTATTTAGTTGCTCTCAGTCAGATATAGGCCGGAAAGCACAAAACAAATTCGTTTATTTTGGATGGGATTTTTTACAAAAAAAAAGTTTAAGCAGAGGCTTTGGCAAAGATAAAACACGGCTCGATCAATTTTAATGGTAATTTTTTTCTACATTAGCATTGTGTTTTAGTTGTCAGTTCCAAGAAGACATAGTAAGAACAATTTCATTTATTCTGAGAACTGAATTTTTGAAATTTAACAATGTTTCTTACGGAAATTTTCTAAAATAATTTGTTTCCCTCAAAATTGGCCCCATTAAAATTGATAAAAATTTCACCAAATCACGTTCATATTACCCCAATTAAGACGGAAAAATAAAATCAATCAGGTCAGTCCACATCAAATTTATCTTACGGGAAAAGGACAAGAAGTTTTTTTTACAGTGTAGATGCCATAAGCTCCTCGTTAAATTAATTTTCAGTTTGTTCTAAAAAAAATATAGAACTTGCAAAGATGAAGTTGATTGTTTCATATATGTACCCTTATATAAAGAGAGATTCAACATTCATAATTCCAAAAACTTTATAAAAAATTCCTTTTTAAGAAATTTGCATTGAAAAATACACCATTGTACAAATTAAGAAGATGAAAAATGGCTCGTATGAAATCGGCTAGAGAGGATTGGAATCGATTTGTTAAAAAGTGACGCGGCCGTGGGTATATTAATCAAGCGATGCCTCCCTGGGAGGCCGCCGCGCTTTTCGCGCAATCAATTCCCGGTGTGTGCATGATTGCTGCAAACAAACCGCCGTCGGCGTGAATTTACAATGCCGCGTGTGAATAAGAATCGAAAGTCTAGAGTGCAACAGACGTGCCAATTCCTGTAATCTCGGGATTAAAAGCCACAAAGCAGGCCCCCGTGCCGCTTTGCTTCTTTTTATTGTCGCTAATCGAGTCGCGCAGGGGGTGAAAGCGACCCCGCGTTTACGCTGCAACAAAAGAGCAGCCGGCAGAAAATGTGCAGCATCCATAGGGCCGATTATATATAATATTAGTGCATTAACATAATGTGCAGGCCGTTTTTATATCATTGTTGTTGATGTCAAAGCAAATTCTGCTTTTTTGACTTTGGCTGGCGCACGCTCTGCCGCTTTGTTTTCTTTCATTCCGCCCTTGCGGGACGAGATCGACGCATGCAGAATTATGAAAAGCAGCAGCGCCCTTCGTACATTTCATTTGTTGTTGCATCTCTTGTGTGCGGCTGCCAGTTTGGCTAATTACGTGCGACAGTGATTTGAGTGCGTGAGGAATCGAAATTGGACGTGATGTTTATTACGGCGGCCTGAACGTTATTTGAATGAGTGGAATTTCGTTATGTCAAATGAAAACTCTGAAAGCAATATAAAATTATGTAATGCGACGATGATTTAAAGAATGTTTTGCATAATTGTGTATCAAACAATTGTAAATATGATATGATCTTTGTGTTTAAATAAATAAGCTGTTGCAATAATAACGCCATTCAAAGGAAGGAATTGATTTAGTTACTTTACCCAAATTTATCAATTTTCAACAACAGGAAGTTAAGAGGATCGCCCATATTTTAATATCAGGATTTGTTTTAATTATCATTTATTTTATACGACAGTACCATATTATTTTGATTTTACTTAATTTTTTAGAATCAGGCAAAGAAAGGCAATTCGACATACACAATTATTTTTTAAATAATATTTCATATCATGATGATGTGTCGTGGGAAAATTGATATATTTAATATTTACTAAAATGAATAAATTATAAATATTTCATTGAAGATAAGTTTTTATTACGTTTATTAACAAAAATATATGTAATCAATTATTTATTTAATGCGTTAAAATGTATTTAAAATTGTTTAAATTTAAAGTTTTTATATTAAACATTAATTATAATAAACATAATATATTTTATTAGAATTAATTAAATACAGTTTCGTGCTTACGTTAGCATTTTTTTATGCAATTTCTAAAAAAAATTAATGCTTATTCATCTTATTATTGTCCATTCAATTAATGAAAATACGCAAAATCTTACATGGAGTCAATTTACAACAATTAATTAAGATTAAATAATACAGTTCGTTATAACTTGTAAATGCTGAATTTCAAATTTTTTTACTTCTTTGCCGTTTCGGACTTAAAAAGTCAACTAAAATATTTTATAGTGAATTTTCATAAAACTCTTCCAATAAAATAATTGCCTTTCCCCCTTTGCTCTAATTTTGCACCAAACAGAAGAAATATCGTTTTCCCAAAGCGCACTCTTGTTAATAATAAAAACTAACTACCCACCGCACGCCGTGGGGGTTGCAACGGCAATTTAATAAAAATAGAGATCGCGCCGAGTGTTGCACGCGCATACGTATACGTATTTATCCTTGCGCGCGGTAATGATACAGTCGGGCGTATACCACACAGTACAATGAGAAAATTGTACATAATTCATTCGGGAAAGACGACGACGAGCTGGGGTGTTATTAAAACTATAGCCATACATCAGCACGCGCGCGGGGGCAGGAAGCGCCGCACTTTGTGCCGACGGGAGACCCAAATTGATTTTTTACCGCTACTTTTTGCGTCATCTCTGGCATTGCCGCCGACGCTCTATTAACAGAAAAATAAATTATGGCGTTCCTAATGGTTTTCCGCAGACCCGACAGTTATACCACGGGACAACCGTCAGAAAAAATAATGTAATATCATAGGGGGTGTATATCAAAAGTATACAAATCTATGTTAAAATGATATTTTGCAGACTGACCTTGATAAAGAAACGAAACATTCAAAATTTCCCCAAATTCATTTTACAATTAACGGTCAGGGAAAATAATTTCCTTGACACTCTTTGAACGACTAATGATGACAATTATCGCTTCTGTGACACCCAAAGTGAAAGGTCTAACTAGACGTTATATTTAAATGGCCAAAAGAAGCTTTTCAAAAAGGTGCTCTTTTGGGCAATAGACGAAAACTTAAAATTTTCTTAATTTTCCAATATATCGGATGACACTCTTTGAACGACTAATGATGACAATTATTGCTTCTGTGACACCCAAAGTGAAAGGTCTAACTAGACGTTATATTTTGATGGCCAAAAGAAGCTTTTCAAAAAGGTGCTCTTTGGGCAATGGACGAAAACTTAAAATTTTCCAATATATTGGATGACACTGTTTGATCGACTAATGATGACAATTATTGCTTCTGTGACACCCAAAGTGAGAGGTCCAACTAGACGTTATATTTCCCTGACAAATAAGCAAATTTTCTTTTAAACTTGGTATGCTTTTAATTTATCATAAACATTCTGAAAAGTAATTTTTTTAGTAAAATCTCCATATGATTAAAAAAAGTGTGATGGTTCAATAAGGAAAAAATTTAAAAAATGTTAAATTCATTTGCAACTAAAATAGATACAAATTATTTTTAAATTGCAGAAATATCAAATTCAGCTACAAAAAATAAAAAAATATGGAAACGTAAATTAAGTTTCTTACACATTTGGAAGGCATGAGGGAAACCGAATCGAGTGCAGGCCAGAAAGGGTAACGACGAGTCGCGTGTGCAATGAAACTGGGCGGAGTCGGCGCTGGTGCCTTGATAAAAGGGAGGAGGCGCCACGGGGGGCGCCTGATTTGCGCTCGGCGCCGCCACTTTCGCCGAGGGAAGAGAGGGACAATTATCGCCGTTATTACCACTACTCTGGCCCGAGAGCAGCCGACACTCATTAGCGATGAATTAATCTCGCCCAAAGATGGCCGACGCGCGCTAAATTGACTGCGCATTCGCGCAAAATTGTCTCCGCAGGAGCAGGGCTGCGTAATTGTGATGGGCGCTAATTTTATTCGCTGCTCCTTAATCACCACCAAAGTTACAAACTGAGTCGCACTGATTGCAAATTGAGATCATTTTAGATTAGAAATAAAACGCATTTTGATCAAAAAGTGTTTCTTGTAAGAATAAAATTTTATAAATGATGGTAGTTTTAATAACCGCTTTTCGTCATTTTTCCAAACAATTAGTTTATTAAAAGAAATCGCGCAGATCACTCTCAGAATCTGCACAGAATGTACGCTTAACTTAATTTATTTTATTTTTGTTTTTACATTTTTTTTCGCTTCTTCAGTTTAGGAAAGTTTTTGTATGACAATTTTTTATTTTTTTTTCCGACGAAAAGTTTCAAATTCAGAAAATAATTTATTTCAAATTCCATAACATTAATTGAATTTTGTGTCCATATTTAAAAATAAGTTTCTCAATTGTCGTCTTTTTATAGAAATGCGCGAAATAATTATCTAAGTTCGGAACCGACAGAATTCCTCTTCACCCCGCACGCAAGCAGCAGGGTCAAGAGTCAAAGGCATGAATTGATCCTTGAGATGTTGACATTGCCGCAGCTGAAGTGGTCTCATTATTTCCACCCCTGGCCAACGGCGTCGCACCCCCGGCGGCCACTCCACTGAAATATGGGGACACACGGCCGGATATTTACGCAGCGGCGGCGGGAAAACGAAGACGTGTCTTAAGTACCGGTCATTTTGGTTATTGCCTGTGCCAAGTCAGCACTGCAAATAAAACTGGCCAAGAAGGCGTGGCAGCCGAATCAGGCGAGAAAGAAAACTATCTGCGCCGACGACTTGTCTTTTGCAGCCGGCCGTAAAATTGCCTCTCGAGAAAAACGGCCTTTTCTTTCGCCAACTTAACTTTGCTCATTTTTACGAACTAAAGAAGTACGAAGCAGATTATCAAATTTTTATTTCATCTTGTAAAAATAATAATTAACAAACATTAAGAGCAAAAATATTTACTCTATGATTTTTACGAAATAAATGTTAATTTTTATTCCCTAAAAAAATAATTCAATTCAATTAAAAAAAGGATTGATTTGGGACTACAAACGGCAAATTCCTAATCATGCTATGCAAATTGATCTCCCAAACCGTTTTTTAACAATGGGTAGTTAAACGAGTCGGAAACAATTAAACGCCAATCTTTGCTAGCCTCTCTACAAAAAACACAATAAGCACGCGTGGTGTTTTGTTTCAAATAGGCTGGCCGAAATATTATGACACTTTTTATGGCCGCGTCTAAAATTAACAAGAGGCATTTTAATAAGGCGCTGCCACTAAAACGGAAGGTGAGAATAAAGTGGGGAAGCGGAATTTGCATAAGATACTTCGCACTGATCACTTTATTGCTTTCGGCCTTATTCGATTGACATCTGAAGCCCACGCCTTTCAAACTGAAACGCTTTATGGGAAATTTTGTGATGAGAAAAATAGAACCTAGAGAGGATGTTGGCAAGCAATAAAAATTACGTGTTTCCGGACAAATTTTATGTAGGCGACAGATTTTTTGAGAACTTACAATTTTAATTAAATGGAGACAGAGAGAGAAAATAATATATTTATAGACACTGCGATTTCTAAACGATCAGAATTGGAAAATCTTCCGCTCTCATAGACAGTCTCCAGGTATGTGATTTTCGCAATTCTTTGGAAAAAATTATGCTTCGTCGTCAATTATATTTTATCGTTCATTTTCAAACGCTTAAGAATATTTAAATTTTTCACTGTGTAAATTTTTGCCATAATTAGAAATTTTGGAAACTTGTAAAGTATGTAAAAGAGAAAGACAATTATAAAAAATCAAAATAAAATGATTTTGTCAGCAACTTTTTAATTAAAATAGCAAATTTTTATTCTCTGGAATGTTAAATCTAAATAAAAATTTCTATCAATTTACTCAAAAATTAAAAAAATTTCTCTTCCCAGTAAAATTGCACCGACCTAGCGTTGTAAGTATATTTATTTTGTATTTGACTAGATGCTAGGGAAAATTAAGAGGTAAAAACTATACGTGCATGTAATGGAATGAGTGGGTGGTGATCGGAGAAGAGAAAAATTCGCATCCAAAAGCCACACGCAATTGCTCAGGGGGGAGAGCATTGGTGTGCAGAAAAGCACATCCTGTGCGTCGCTCTGTGTCTCTCTCTCGAGAAATGATTTTTATTGCAGTGATTGGGATGCGACACCTGGAGTTTCCTGCGCCCGGCGCACGCGTTTTGCATGCGCGATGAGGCGTTAATCAGGCCTGAAAGGCTAATTGGCAGCCAACAGAGCCATTGTCTGCGGCCACTTCAAAGAACACACACGCATTCTGGCCAGCCGGCGGGGCAATCAGACTTTTATTAGCCGTTGGCCAATAATTTTGGCGCTGCCCGCCGCGCCGTTCGCAGAAATTGAGTTGCTGCGCGAATCTTGTTTCGCAATTAATGCACGTACGCGCAGTGTGTTTTATTTCGGTGGGCTGCGTCGGTAAATGAGCTCTGCTTGCTCGGCGTCCAAATTCAGCTGCAGGACCACACCTAGTTAAGGCAAACAATGCTCGACGCCGCCCTAGCGAGAGCATAAGTGTCTAATTGTTATGCAATTAACGCTTCATTAAGCTGCTTAATTCTGTAGGCTAAGGTTTTGTCACTCT